GAGAGAGAGAGAGAGAGAGAGAGAGAGAGAGAGAGAGAGAGAGAGAGAGAGAGAGAGAGGGAGAGAGAGGGAGAGAGAGGGAGAGAGAGAGGGGGGGGGGGATACTTCGAAGTATGTACTCATTATACACCATACACGTTTTGCTAGTGTAAGCGGGTTTTGCCAGTCAACATGTTGACAGACCTCATCATATCCACTCAGAGAGAGAGAGAGAGTCGAGTGCAGGAGCAGCAGCAGCCACAGTAGCAGCAGCAGCAACAGCAGCAACAACAGCAGCAGCAGCAGAAGCAACAGCAGCAGCAGCAGCAGCAGCAACAGCTGTAAGTCTTCGACCCAAAGTGATCTCCCCCACTTAACCCTGGCTTGCTGATAGTCATGACGGTGATATCCGCGAAGCAGATACATCCCTTGTTCTTGGCCTTTGTCGCACCGCCCCAGCTAGAGGCCGAGTATTCCGCATCCGTAGGAACGCCACCACCCTTCAAGGATCAAGGCGCAGATGCAGCTCCGAAAGCGGTGGGAGGCGAGTAGATCAGACCCAGTCACCACCAGAGTGGTCAAAGACCGAAAATCCCATCCGCTTGTTTCCTTGCCGGAAAACAAATCAGACGTGCGGGGAAGACTTTCCCCCGTTGGTGGTGTTGCAGTCTGGTGCGATGAACTAGTGAGCATGACCAGGCATGCCATATTGCAACACACTGTGGCATATACAGTCAGCTTCGTCAATAACGACTGCGGATATACAGTCAACTTCGTTTATAACGACAATCGGCGGGGCATCAAAAAAGTGTCCTTATTCGCGAAGTGTCGTTATACCCGAAGTCTCATTATATGTATTACAGTTGGATGGAGCTTTGCTCTGGGCAAGGACATTCTGTCGTTATTCGCGAATTGTCGTTATATCCGCAGTCGTTATTAGCGAAGTTGACTGTAACGACAATTCGCGAATAACGGCAGAATTTCCATGCCCAGAGCAAAGTCCCATCAAACTGTAATACATAATTATAATGAGACTTTAAGGACACTTCACGAATAAGGACACGTTTCTGATGCCCCGCCGAGTGTCGTCATACTCAAAGTTGCCAGAGCCCCTACGCATGCAGGACAACACTACCTCGCTGAGGAAAAAACAACAATTCATACACCATTTTTCCATTATTCCCCGTACTTACCTCATGATGAGAAGGGAAAGAAAACGTCCGGTTACTAAATTGACTTTACATGACTGTGGGGATTGCGTCGGTGCTGACACTTTTTTTTCGAAATTCATACATCACTCAGTTGTTTCATCAACCACTACAGCACACCATAACTGCGCCGCTCTCCAGCCGACCTCGACACGTTGCCACAGCACACCACCAGCAAAGTGACACGTCCGTTGGTACTGAATTCCTTCGTACAGCTGTTTCGAGTATACAAACTCTCATCAGTGAGGGTAGATATTGTATTCAGTTCACAGAACAGAGATTCAGTTGGAAGAACACACATTAGCACACCAAGCAGAGAAGGCACACAGGTGCATTCGATGAGGCCTTTCATACCATTATCCTCCACATTCGGAACACTGGTGATATGAGCAGCAGCGAGCCCCTTTAGCCAGCTTTTTAGGCGGTAAAAGCAGTGACACAAATGGCACATACAAGAGAGTGCAAGTGTCACCACCCACCTGGTTGAACTATCAATAACAGTTACACACTATGCCAACCCCAAACCTGACGCTGTGCAGTCCCAGACCTGCCAACACTGTGCTGTGAACTGGTACAGGGCACTGTGCAGTCCCAGACCTGCAAACACTGGGCTGTACACTGGTACAGGGCACTGTGCAACTCTAGACCTGCCAACACTGTGCTGTGAACTGGTGCAGGGCGCAAACTTGAGTCGCGTGATCAGATTTCATTGAGCAGCACGGAACAGTATCTGTCCATACAGTGCCAAGTTTCGCACATTTCAGATCTTAGCTTGGCAATATAGTGTTCACAGGTCTGGGACTGCACAGTGCCCTGCACCAGTTCACCGCCCAGTGTTTGCAGGTCTGGGACTGCACAGCGCCCTGCACCAGTTCACCGCCCCGTGTTTGCAGGTCTGGGGCTGCACAGCGCCCTGCACCAGTGCACAGCCCGGTGTTTGCAGGTCTGGGACTGCACAGTGCCCTGTACCAGTGTACAGCCCAGTGTTTGCAGGTCTGGGACTGCACAGTGCCCTGCACCAGTGCACAGCCCAGTGTTTGCAGGTCTGGGACTGCACAGTGCCCTGCACCAGTGCACAGCCCAGTGTTTGCAAGTCTAGGGCTGGGATGTAGTCAGAACAGGTTCAGGGCGCCAGTTCGTCACTTCGGGTCGGATTTCACCGAGCGCAAGTGTGAATATAAGGAGAGGTTTCTGCTGCTGCTCATATCACTAATGTACCGATTGCAAGACTAACAGTACGAAAGGCCTCATCGGATTTACCTGTGGCTTCTGTGCTGTGCGTGCTAGCGTCACTCCATGTCCACACTCGAGTACCGTAAAGTACCGCCAGAGCGCCCCGTCTCGCGAGAGCGCCCCACCTTGATTTTACAGCCAGGGAAAGGAAAACCGCACGGCAGAGTGCAATGAAGTTGGTCCGGCGTGAGAACCTTAGTGTACTGAGGTCACGCTTAGCAGGTTTTTGTGTGGAATGTGCAATATGTGTACAAGGTTCATGTCGTATGACCTACAACAGACAGGAGACCACCTCCACAATACGACCACGAAAGGACGACATGGTGGGGCGCCCTGGCGGCACTTTACGGCACTAGTGCTGAGCTCATACCACATATTTTAGCGCGGCAATGGTGCAGGATTTGACAACGGTGTGACAAACACTAGACACTACTTTCGTACACATCTTACTGGTACGGAGAGAAACAATACGGAAACAGACAATACCAAGAAAGACAATACCAAAAGGAACAATACAGAGAAAGACGAGACAATGCTGAGACAATGCTGAGAGACAATACGGAGAGAGACAATGCTGAGAGAGACAATGCGGAGAGAGACAATGCTGAGAGAGGCAATACAGAGAGAGACAATGCTGAGAGAGACAATGCTGAGAGAGACAATGCTGAGAGAGACAATGCTGAGAGAGACAATGCTGAGAAAGACAATACGGAGATAGACAATACGGAGGGAGACGATGCTGAGAGAGACAATGCTGCGAGAGACAATGCTGAGAGAGACAATGCTGAGAGAGGCAATGGTGTGACAAACACTACACACGGTAACACTACACATCTTACGGGTAAGAATCCCGGATCCATGCTCGCCGTCTTCAAGTACAGATATTCCGTGATGAGCAGAAGCAGCAGGAAGTCCAGCATACACGACAGGACCGTGAACGAGCAGGACGATGACGACGCTGCGAGAAGCAACGACGATTTGAACCCATAGTGGCGAATGTCTACACAGGACAGCCGACACATCACACACACTGTAAAACCGGAAAATTTCGGTGGAGAATTATTTTCGGCAACTTCGGCACAGGTCATTTTTACCTAAAATACAACGCTACCTAAAATTCAACCACGCCATGACACACAGTGCGCAAAATGCATTTTTGGATCTGGAAAACTGGTTTGCCAAAATTTTCGTGCTCCCGAACCGTTGATTTTGGGAAATACCGAACATATTACACCACCGAAATTCCCGGTTTTACAGTACGTGCATCACATGAGACATGAGCCCATACTGCCGAATGTCTACACGGGACAGCGAACACATCACACATACATCACATGAAGAGTGAAGACACATCACATGAACACATACTCCTACATGCACATCACATCACATGAACACCTACACATACACACATCACATGAGCCCATACTGTCACGTCTCTACCTGCTGAAAAATCACCCGCGATATTCGAGTCTCTCTTCGATGTTTTTTGTTCTGCAAGCTTGTCACTAGTTGACTTGTGAGATTGACACCAGCATGGAGAAGTTTCTGGGCAAATCAGCGGCTGACGAGTCAAGGCAGTTTGGATACGAGCCCAAGAACGCTGCAGCCACGACCGCAAACGTGGTGTGACCGGTAGGAAACTGTTTGCCCCCACCCCCTCCTTTTTCCTATTTGCGACAGCAAAGCAAGGCGCTGATTTTCCTCACAGAGTGACCGGAACCGAATACCAAGCGGCACGGGTTTCAGCTGAGGGGGCAGTTTCTGCACAGCTTTGACTAGCACCATGCACCATGAATCAAGTAGAGTGCTGCTCAATGAAATCCAGTCGTATCACTCAAGTACACGCCGGGCGTTGCGCAGCCCTAGACCTGCGAACACTGGGCTGCGAAATGGTGCAAGGCGTAAACTTGAGTACGCGACTGGATTTCATTGAGCAGCTCTGTACATGACAATCACATTGTACTCTTCCCGGGACCAGTGCATACACTCTCCTCTGCACAGCCAAGGAAACATTACAGCAATCCCTTTGAAATCCGGCACCATTTGTGCTATGGAAATTCTGCTGGATTAGGGAGGGTGCTGGATTTAGAAAATCTGATTTACTGCAGCAATATGCATGAAAAGGACATTCTGGTACAGTGGTCCCTCTATAATCCGGCACCATTTGTGCCACGAAAATCTGCTGGATTAGGGAGGGTGCTGGATTAAAAAATCTGATTTACTGCTGCAATGTACATGAAGAGGACATTTTGGCTACTGAAAATTGTGCTGGTTTATCGAGGGTGCTGGATTATAAAGTGCCGGATTAGAGAGGGACGACTGTAACTGAAAATTAAGCTGGTTTACGGAGGGTGTTGGTTTGTACAGTGCGGGATTGATGGTGCTGGTACACGCACTAGCCTACCTTTAGCTTCCAGTAGGATCACCGCCAGCACGTACGCAGTCAGACAGGTGTGTAGGATAGGTCCAACGCGCTGTGCATGGCTCGTGGTGCCGTCTTGTTGACGCATCTCGCCCGTGGTAGCACAATCAATGGTACGTATAGTAGATTTAAATTAACGTTCTGAACCACCGATATTCAGTAGCTACACTCTACTTTTATACAGCTGGATACAGCTCAGAAAAATTGAGGAAGTGTCTTGTAGTTTATTATACGTGGGCATGAAGAATTATTTGAATTTTCAAATGAGAAAAGAGCTAACCTGGCACTTATTGTTATAAATACTGTACAGACTCAGAACTTGGAATTAAAATTGACGCACTGTATTGCCGGCTACTGTATTCCCGGGCACTTTTCGATATATACATTGTAGTGGCCAAAAGCCACAGTGGTCGAGTCCAGAAACAAACAAATACACTGACACTACAACACCATTGAACATTAGTACAGTAATGTCTTGTCAACAGCAAATAAACTCAGTTCATTATGGCTTTTTATTTATGCATTTATGTCAAGAGTCCATTATTTTGCACTCTTTATCAGTTCTGCTAGCCTTGATCACGTCACGTCGTGCGTAGATCTCTCTACAATGTACGCGTCACCTTACAAAAAAGACGCGATTATCCTGTCATGGCAACGAGAGATGGCGCGGTGGAGTTTTTGGACTTTCGATTTTTTTGCTGATCGCGATATCCAGATTATTATCGCTTGAGTAAAAAGATTTTTCAAACAAACACACACACGATCGAAGAAGTTTGTTTGAATCCTTGACCCTGTGTGAGCAAATTTGCTTCTTGTTATCGTCTGCTTGGATACTAGTAGGTTACAGCTGTCCCTGGGCCCAACAGCCGTATTCCGAAGGTCGCCATGTTTTCCAGACTCGTTTTTAGTGCCTCTGGCGTCGGCCGTGGACCACTGAATGCTCGCTGTCGTCTGTTCTCGTCCTCGATCAGTCGCAGAGCTCCAGCTGTCGAGAATCCTCCGAACCTGAAAGCCAGGCGACGGCCGCTGAAGGTGCACCCAGCCAATACGGACAAGCCGCGTCCGATGCGGCCAAACGTACTGGCGAAATTCGCTGGGTACACTTGGAAAAGGATGGGCACCCTTGGCGTGGGTGTGTTCGTCACAGGCACGGGGATAGCGTTCGCCTTCATCGTGATCCGTGCGAAACTGCTCAAGGAGGACGACACGAGCGCAGATCTCTGCATTGACGAGAAGTACAGGCGAAAAGTGTTCGAAGTGTGCGCACCGGACTATGACGACCTCGTGTGCCGTGGAGAGGGCATGCTGGGCATCAAGCGGCTGAGACGCAACATCATCGGCAAAGCACAGGGCAAGGTGCTGGAGCTGGCCTGTGGCACGGGCACCAACTTCCAGCACTACGACAAGGAGAAGGTGACGGAGGTCATCGCGCTGGACCTGAGCCCCAAGATGGTGGAGACGGCACGCAAGAAGCCCGAGAGCCTGTTCATCAGGGAGCTGCGCGTGGGCAACTCGGAGGACCTGTCGCAGTTCGCCGACGGGACGTTTGACACGGTCGTGGACAGCTTCGGCCTGTGCAGCTACGAGCGGCCGGAACGGGCGCTGGCCGAGATGCGGCGAGTGCTGAAGGACGACGGCACCATCCTGCTGCTGGAGCACGGCCTGTGCAAGCGGACCTACTTCTGGATGACCAAGATACTCAACGTCAACGCGCAGCGGCACGCGGAGCACTACGGCTGCTGGTGGAATCGCAACATCATGCGCATGGTGTACGACGCCGGCCTGGAGACACCGTACTTCCGCATGCGCCACTTCCGCTCCACGTTTTTCATCGTGGCCAAGAAACCCGCCGCCCAGCCGGGAGACGGGTCGGTGACAGCAGACAATGGTACCAGTGCTGCCACCACTGCTGGGACATTCACTCTGCGGTGATGAGGTCGTCCGTGTCCACCACCACCATTCGGGGCGGGTCACACTTCCAGCAGAGCAAGCAGTGCGACGGCGTCGGGTCGCCATGGCACCCAGTGCACTCGGCAACAGCACCGACGCGCTCGCATGCGCGCGAACGAGTCACTGTGCTGAGAGCGCCCGGCCATGTTGTGTGGATCATGTGCGTTGTCGTCCGTCGCCTCGTGACACAAGCAGAGCAGCTCACACTGTACTAAATGAAGCACATGCTGTTGGCCCAGTCCGGTCCGTCAGGCATGCCAGTAGAGCCAGCCTCTCACCTGTAGGGAATGATGCTCGCGAGGCCCACTGCAGTGTCCAGTGTCCTTGCTGGTATGGTCGTCATGGTAATGATGGCGGACCACGCTGTGAGTTGTTGTCACACCAATGACGCTGGAGGATTTCGGCACGGGCTATGTCTGTCTGCGTGGCGACGCATCGGTGCTTGGCTTTTCTGTTCTGCACCGCGGATGTGCATGATGATGTTTGTGTAGATTCCGAGTGTGTGCGTGAATACTGGAATGTGTGTGCAACCGCCATCTTCGGACGCATCTGCCAGTGCACTCGCTCAGTGCTGCTATCCCTAGCTCCGTGCGGAGTAGTAATTCAAGTACTCACTGCTACCTGCCTTTGGGCAGTCTGCATGCCAGTGGACACACGTAAGATAAGTTCTCCTTGCTGTCTTCTGCTGAACGGCGGGAACAAGTCTCGGCTGCTATCACTGCCTGCCATCACTGTGTGCTATTACCATGATTTCAAGCTGCTATTACTGGCTGATATCACTGCCCGCTGCCTGCTATTGCTATAGCAGCGTTACAACGGTGGCATGTGCTGACCTGCTTGTCCAACAGCAACATGGCTTGTGACTTCTTCGGAGCCTGCTGGCCATGCTCATACGTGCCTGCTTTTGCGGAGTGTATGCACGCTCACTATCGTTGGCTTGAAGCGCTTCTGCTACTGCTGATGACGCCAATGCTGCTACTGGTGTGTACTGGCCCAGCACACGCATACTATCCTGTACAATCCTCTGTGTCTTGCTTTCAGACGCATTGCATCAGCTACCTGTCCTATTTATTTTATTGATCTATTTTCAACCTCCTTGTACTTACTTGAAGTACGTACATACCCCCTCCACAGTCAGACAATATGTAACTCTGCAGCTTGTGTGCAACCGCCGGAGGATGCACCCAGTGAGTGTGCTGCCAGTGCTCAACACCGCGGAGGTAGAGCGTAATACAGAGTAGTGACCAGGGAGTAGTAAAATTACTACTCCCTGGTCGCGACTGACTTTATGTAGCTTTGCTCGCCCTTGTTGTTCTGTGTGCATTGTAGTCTACACTGTACAGTCGACTTTGCGTATGACGACACTCGGCGGGGCATCAGAAAAGTGCCGTTATTCGCGAAGTGTCCTTATATCCGAAGTCTCATTACATGTATTACAGTTAGATGGGACTTTGCTCTGGGCATGAGAATTCTGTCGTTATTCGCGAAGTGTCGTTATATCCGCAGTCGTTATTAGCGCGAAGTTGACTGTATGTGCAATGACGTAGATCTACGTACAGTGATGGGCAAAGAAATCCAACCTCATGAATGAAATAGCGCCGGACACTACACAGCCCCAGCACTACACATACTGATCCGTGCCCTCGAACGCGGCGCTGCTTTATTCTTGAGGTTGGATTTCTCTGGCCACGCACCACTGTAGTTTACCGGCTCTGCATTGCTGATCGTCTATGTGGTGGGTTTCGACTGCATCTGCATGGTGTTGTACCGCTTGATGTTCTCTACCTTGTGGTGGCTTGCTCTGAATCTGTTTTGCAACATGGAGTTTTGTAAATTGGACTGTTTTGCAGCAGTCCTTCAACAGAGAAATGTACACTATACTGTAAACCGCCCAATGTTTGCATCTGTTTGCGATCTGATCATCTCTCAGGACCAGCTACTAGTCTACGATTGCAATTTTTGCGGATCACTGTGGCCACACAACATATACGTACACCCATTGTTACGCCAATCAATAGTTTTGGGGGCCATTTTTTCCTTGAAAAGCCAAATTTTGTGACTCTTGACACTCTTCCAGACCACTAGACTGGTCAGAAAGGTGCCCGGTCGACGGACGTGCCAGCCCAAATTCGCTCGAGACTTTTCGATATTATGCCGCATAATTTTGCTGCGCTTCTTTCGATATTATGCTTGGAATTAACGAGAGAGCTTGGAAGCTCAGGGCCCTGCGCTATGCTTTGTTGCCTAGCTCATCGTGCATGTTGTTAGAGCTGATGGAAATGCTTTTTCCTTTGATTAGCTACATCATTGTTTTGCAAAAACGTTTCAATGAGATACTGAAGTACAAGTAACGTCTTCTGCATAGCTATGGGACCGGCGCTGACTCTGCCGATGACGGGCGTTCTGGAGTCGACGGGATGTCTGTCCTGACGTTTCCTGGGACCGGCGCTGACTCTGCCGATCACGGGCGTTCTTTTTCTTCTTATTATTATAATACTGACGGCAACTAACATCCATTCTGATTGCATTTACTCGTCTCCCTACTTCGTATTTCTTTCCAGAAAATCTCCCCATGCAGCAGGGAGTCGTTTACATAATATGACTCCCTGCTATACATCTACATGACTGACTTGTCAGTTTGAGCACTCTGGCAAGATACGTTCGGGCCTGATTGGAAATTTTTATTTTCATTGCTATCAGGTTCGGCCTCATTTTCTCTGTGCTGCGCTGATGAGTTCAAAAAGAACGAAACAGCATGCTGTCCGCAGATTGAGTGACTGTATATACGTTATAATTATTATCAAGAGTACATAACCCCCAAAAGTGTGCAACGCCGATCCAGCTCTGTGTAGGGTCTTGGTCGAGCGGAATCGGATCTTCTGATGTCATGCGTACACTTCAGACCAGCCGGTCTCGAGGCAGGGCACCATTGTTTTTGATCCAAGAGTACCCGCGACTTCCCGGGTTCCCCTCGGATGTGTACGGTATTATGACGCAAAGATCCGATTCCGCTCGACCAAGACCCTATGCAGAGCTGGATCAGGCCTTGCACAGTCTGGGGGGGGTTATGTACTCTTGTTATTATGCTATCGGCCTACATGCGATTTCCGGGCTGGTCGACAGGCGGCCCAGCCAGCCTGCTAGTGGGATCTCGGCCTCGCACACAAATCCACACAAAATTTAATGTTACTGCACTGAATGCATCCCCCCCCCATTCACTTCGCATATATACTCATTCTCTTGATGGTACCGTACTCTTGATGGTACGGGACAGGTACGGGATAGTGCCAGGCATGTCGATGGCACAAACAAACAAAAATATTGTGGCCAGCTGTCTTTGCTGGTACGGTACAGTACGGGATAGATACAGGATAGCGCCAGGCGTGACACAAACAAACAAACACACAAACAAACACCAAACGAGAGAGCTTGGAAGCTCAGGGCCCTGCGCTATGCTTTGTTGCCTAGCTCATCGTGCATGTTGTTAGAGCTGATGGAAATGCTTTTTCCTTTGATTAGCTACATCATTGTTTTGCAAAAACGTTTCAATGAGATACTGAAGTACAAGTAACGTCTTCTGCATAGCTATGGGACCGGCGCTGACTCTGCCGATGACGGGCGTTCTGGAGTCGACGGGATGTCTGTCCTGACGTTTCCTGGGACCGGCGCTGACTCTGCCGATCACGGGCGTTCTTCTTCTTCTTCTTATTATAATACTGACGGCAACTAACATCCATTCTGATTGCATTTACTCGTCTCCCTACTTCGTATTTCTTTCCAGAAAATCTCCCCATGTAGCAGGGAGTCGTTTACATAATATGACTCCCTGCTATACATCTACATGACTGACTTGTCAGTTTGAGCACTCTGGCAAGGTACGTTCGGGCCTGATTGGAAATTTTTATTTTCATTGCTATCAGGTTCGGCCTCATTTTCTCTGTGCTGCGCTGATGAGTTCAAAAAGAACGAAACAGCATGCTGTCCGCAGATTGAGTGACTGTATATACGTTATAATTATTACATAACCCCCCAAAGTGTGCAACGCCGATCCAGCTCTGTGTAGGGTCTTGGTCGAGCGGAATCGGATCTTCTGATGTCATGCGTACACTTCACACCAGCGCAAGGCCGGTCTCGAGGCAGGGCACCATTGTTTTTGATCCAAGAGTACCCGCGACTTCCCGGGGTCCCCTCGGATGTGTACGGTATTATGACGCAAAGATCCGATTCCGCTCGACCAAGACCCTATGCAGAGCTGGATCAGGCGTTGCACACTCTGGGGGGTTATGTACTCTTGTTATTATGCTATCGGCCTACATGCGATTTCCGGGCTGGTCGACAGGCGGCCCAGCCAGCCTGCTAGTGGGATCTCGGCCTCGCACACAAATCCACACAAAATTTAATGTTACTGCACTGAATGCATTCCCCCCATACACTTCGCATATATACTCATTCTCTTGATGGTACCGTACTCTTGATGGTACGGGACAGGTACGGAATAGCGCCAGGCATGTCGATGGCAGAAACAAACAAAAATATTGTGGCCAGCTGTCTTTGCTGGTACGGTACAGTACGGGATAGATACAGGATAGCGCCAGGCGTGACACAAACAAACAAACACACAAACAAACACCAAATTAAAGCTGTGTGGACCCTGGCTAGCGCCAGACGTTACTGAAGTAACGTCTTCTGCATAGCTACGGGAATTAAAGCTGTGTGGACCCTGGCTAGCGCCAGACGTTACTGAAGTAACGTCTTCTGCATAGCTACGGGAATTAAAAATGCATTGCCGGGCGGGGGCGATATTCTGCTCTGATTATGCTCAATGGCAGCTTCAAAGACGCCAAATTTGGACCAAATTTTGGAGAAATTTTCAGAAAAACATCAATATTTTGCTCAGTTTTGCTGGGTTCACATTTCAAAATGTGAAGATTGACTTCACAATGCTCATCACTAAGCTGCCATGCAAAATAGTTTAGTTGCGAGGATGGACATAGTACAATGCATGCACGTACCTCTGGCGCTGGACATGAAACTTCGAGTATCTGCAAAATCACGGCGAAAATATCCAAAAAATTCGAAATTATGCTCCAAATATGCCGGGCAATTCTTTTTCTAAAATGTTTCGATATTATGCCAAAAGAATTGCCGGCAAATTTGGGCTGACACTGATTGTAGTAGAAGGATGTGCCCGGATCTGGTGAGTTTCACTGTTCATGAAACCAAGAATACGATCATATACCGTAAAGTCTTGTATAAAAGCCGCACTTGAATAGAAGCCGCAATTTTGGGCCCATCAAATCACACATAAGCCTGGTTTTAGTGTTGACATACATAGAAATACCGGTCTTGTATAGAAGCCTGTCTCATACAGAAGCCTGCACAAATTCACCAAGAAAGTCATACCGTAGAAGCCGCGGCTTTTATACAAGACTTTACGGGAAACACTGTAAAACCGTTTACGTACTTCTATTCAAAGTGCCGGTATACCGGTACTCTTGATCAGGGAGTCGGCAAAAATACCGTATTGGACGACTCCCTGCTCTACTCTGGGGGGGGTTATGTACTCTTGATGAAACCCAGAGTGTGCAGCTTGGATGCGAAATAATTCAAATCCCGGGATTACATCAGCTTAGTGACGTAGTGCGCGGACGAGCAGGATTCAAGACAAGTAGGTCTCCTGCTGCACAACCGCAGCTCAGTTACACCAAGAAGGGTCATGTACTCTTGGTTACACGCACTGCCTCCGGCATATCTGCTCCGACTATGATGTTATCCCGGAATTTCGCCACGATAGACACATACGGAGAATACTCTGGGTCTCATGTACTCTCGCTGCCGGACACTTAGCCAATCACAGCCAGTCACACAGACAATAAGCTACGGTACTCAAAGATCGCAGGTACCCGCAAGCACACAACGCAGTATGACAAGCGCAGTCTTTTAAATTACCATGGTTACCGGGTATACGTCACTCAGCTAATTGAGGGGCAGGAAGAAAATAAATAAAAGAGAGGAATCAAGAAAACCGTTGCAGTTGACAACATGCACGCGCGCACGCACGCACACCCAGACATACAGAAGCAGATACATATAGACGCATACTCAAGTCTACTAGCAGTGCTAGTGGGTGATGCTGATGATGATGCTGTAACAGCTTAGTGTGGTGGTACGGCGCATCCTAAACAAACAGGCAAACTGAAGCCTGCTCAGCTACCAACAGAACAAGAACTAGGGACAAGAGGCTGCTGTTGCTGACGTGGCTGCGCCATGCTGCCCAGAAAGTACAGCAGCCTGCGTATTAAACTGGTATTCAGCATGGTGCGTGCCTGGCCGTCATTCCACATGGTGTGTGCGCTGGGGGAATGCAACTCGACAGAGCGCTGCCGACGTGTGCGAGCGTGCATGCAAGCGTACGCTTGCCTGCGTTGCGCCGCTAGCTCACAACTCTGTGTGCGCGAATTGCTTGCTGTTGCTGTCGGCAAAGTCGGCGAGGGCCTGGACCACTGGACCTCCCTCGTACTTCTTCAATTCCGTACTGTGGCGGCCGCGGAAGTAGATGGTTGGATAGCCTTCCACCTTGCCCTCAAACTCCCTGGGGAGCTGATTCTCCTGGATGTTGAACTTAATGAAGATGAGGTTCTTGTCATTGACATATTTGCGTGCCGCCTTGAGGAACATGGGCTCCATCTCGCGGCAGTAGGGGCACCAGGGCACGTAGAACATGACGATGACATTGCGATCAGCGTTTCCGTACAACTCCTTGAAGTTCTTGGCGACGGCAATCTTCACTGGTCCGTTATTACGTGCCGGTATCGGCTCTGACCTAATCCACAGACACAGACATAGAGAGAGGGGAGAGAGAGAGAGCGAGAGAGCGAGAGAGAGCGAGAGAGAGAGAGAGAGAGAGAGATTGTGTGTGTGTGTGTGTGTGAGCGAGAGTGTGTGTGAGAGAGAAAAAGAGACGTTTTCACTAGCCAGGGACACAAAAAGATTATTCAATTGACCATTTAACAGAACAATGACCAGTACCCCGCAAATCCGCAGACTTAGAGTGGCTATGGAAATGATCTCTCTCTAATGGGGTATTCACACGACAGGCAAATCCACATGCACCGGAAAGTTGCTATGGTATTTTACCTGTGAACGAGAAAAGTGGCTGAAAGTGGCTGAAAAGTGCAAGCGAGCTGGGGGCCCACTTTCACGATAACCTTGTCGTGCACGAGTACATTTACACCAAAAAGCGCGAAAGACTTGATTTTTCACGCGGCTCTTTTAGAACATGATAATTATTGTATGCGTGTTTTGAAAATTTTAAATACCCATGGCTACTGGTCGGTGAAGCATTCAAAAATGCAACCGTGCATGTCGTCAAGTGCAGCGGTGTGAATACCCTATAAGGGGCCCATCATACTGCAGTAAGTGGGTGAGGGCAAGGTGCAGAAAAAGGTTTAAAAGGACATCAAGGTATATGTCCCAGAATCAAGCTGCATTTACCCCAGCTCACAGTGAAGGTAAGATAACACACTCTTACATGTACACACTTACACATGCCCCCCATCACCACACACACTTACGTATGCCCATCCCGAAATGGGTGATAGCAAACAAGGAGGAGTACATGAAACCCAGAGTGTGCAGCTTGGTGTCACGGATAACACCATTTAACACCATTTTTAAATGGGATGTAGTGTGTACAAGCAGGATTCAAGTAGATCTCTTTCTGCACAACTGCAGCTCAGCTGTACGCACTAAGCCACTTTCCGCCGCTTATCTGCACCAAAATATGATGTGAAATTTGCCGTGACAGACACCCGTGCATGAAAGTCATAAGCTGCATGCTCTGGGTTTCATGTACTCTTGGAATAATCCATGGTAGACATAGCAACTTGTGCTGGTATTACAGCATTCAACAGCTTGCAAAGCTGCATGATACATACAAACACACGTACACACGCACGCAGTCACATACACTGTGGCCGCCATCTTGCCCTGTTTAGGCACTACAGTTCTCTCCCCCATACCTTGCATACGGCTCGAGTTTCTTGGCGAGGAAGTTGTCAATGTGCTCGCGGAACAGGTCCTCATCCCAGTCCTCTTCTAGAGGGTAGTGCTGCTTCACTTCTGGACCCGAGATGGCCAGGCTGACGTCAAAAGCGTTGTCGCTCATGCCCATGGACTGTGCAAGAGAGAAGAAGAATAGAAGAGAAATGTTGGCACACAACACAAACACAAAACGTCGCTTCAGCTGATACGCTACTTTTGAGTGCACGTGTGACCGGGCCCTTATGGCCAAAACAGCTTGCTGTCTACAGCATTGGGTAGGATTAAATGATAAATCTCCCTCCCCTCCCCCAAAACAACAACAACAACAACAACAACAACAACACTGTGCTAACCTGCAGAAGGTTGCCGAAAGCCTCGTCGTCTGCTACGGCGAATGCCAGAGTGTCAGCATGCTCCTTGTAGTCCTTGGCAATCTCAACCAGACGGCGCCGCCAGAACTGGGTAGCTAAAGCACGTACAGGGCACATTACAAGGCATGATACACGTGTATACAGTCGTCCCTCTTTAAGGTTGCTGGAAACTAAATCAGATTTTCAAATTGGCCCGAAATGTTTGGGATGTGAAGTATGCAGTATCTTCAGTGCGCCATGAAGAGATGAAATGGCCAAAAAAAGTAGCTGGTCACCATCAATATTATGGAGCAATGAGCATTCCAAAATTGGATGCTTTCGGGACTTTTGCTCAAATTACCACTTAGTTTGCTCAAAAAAAAGGGGGGGGGGGGCATCATGACAAATTGGCCCGAAATGTTCACTTATTTTTTTACAAATCAACTCTACCAAGTGTAAGATACATGTACAGTCAGACCTCGCTTATCCGGTCCTCGTTTATCCGGATCCCTCGCCATCCGGAAGAAAATAGTTGGTTACAAATGTACAGCATATGCCATGCTTACATACAGTATGTGTGTTCGATTATCCGGTTCCCTCGCCTATCCGGATATTTTTGTGGAAAACGGATGTGTGCGGTTATGCGAGGTCTGACTGTACTAGTAAAAACAAGAAAAGTGAATGTTCAAAACAAAAAGGTTTTTTGATTTCCATTCCAGCTACCTTTAATCCCGCCAGCACTTTATAAACCAGCATCATTTTTGAGCAACCAAAATATTCCTTTCATGCACATTGCAGCAGTAAATCAGATTTTCGAATCCAGCACCCTCCCAAATCCAGCAGTTCCATGCTGCTCTCGCCATTAGCATTATACTGTATTTTCGGTGTAACTTTAATTTCAGTGATTTTGGTAGAGAAAACAGGCACCTAAAATTTAAATTACACCTAAAAGGCACTAGAGTATGCACTGTATATGAAGGGTGGGCTGGTCACCTAATTCTGGATTACACCGGAAACCTGGCAGGTCCCTGGTACCGAAATTTTAATGCACCGAAAATCCAGTCATGTTTTGACAGTACAGTACAATATATCCATCAGGCCACCTACAGTCAAATACTGTGTGCTCCCCAACGCATTCATCCTGCAGAACTTTCACTTTAGCTCATACATGTACATGCACACCCTTCATAGCTCATACATGTACATGCACACCCTTCAAAGCGGTGAACCCCTTGATAGGCGACAAGCCGCTGGGTCATCCTAATAAAGATATTATTATTACTAGAACACAAACAACATACCCTTGCTCATCTCCTTGCTGAAGTCGACCGTGTAGTAGAGCGTGACGACGTTCATATCCCAGTAGATATTCTCCACGCCGGTATTGTGGCCCTGCAGGTGACCCACCAGAGGGCGCGACTTTGTGTACAGCCAGCTCTTGAGCGCGTCCTTCTCGTCCACGCTGAACGCGTCCAGGGCGTGGAACTGCTCCTCGTACTTGGAGCGCAGGTGCTCGGGCTGCGACAGGTAAACGCCATACTCGCCCTGTGTGCATGCGTGCAAGAGAGGAGGAGGGGAGAGAGACACACGGAGAGCATGATTACAGTCCATTCAGAAAAGATGGACTTCTAGCCTTTGGCCATAAATGGGTCAAATGTTGAGTTTTTTTAGAAATGTTTTCTGCAATCCCCTATGGATTCCTCTTCCAATTATATTTCTGAAGTCTATTTCTCCAAAAAGCAAGCCATAGCAAGAACAGGATTTCGGCCAGGTTTTGCCCCAAGAGCACTAAATTGGGAAACCCATCAAAATCCAGGCCGTTTGACCCTGCCTGCAACAGTGCATTGTATGGTTCGAACCCCAGTTCAGGTACCCTTTTTGGATCCTTTTTCACATTTCAAATTTCACAGCACTGCACTGTGTACGATAAAATCTTGAAAAATCGCCTACCGTATTTTTCGGAGTATAGTGCGCACCCCCAATCTTCATTGGGGGTGCGCACTTCAATCTGCATTGAAGTACATACATTTCGTATTCGGAGCATAGTGCGCACCTGCGATTTAGGGCCTAAAATAGCACATCTAAAGTGCGCGCTATACTCCGGAAAATACGGTAATACGGGAGCTCGCCAGAGCCAGGGCCCATCTTTTTGTGAATGGACTGTAGTTGCTGATATGTCTACAAGAAGACTGAAAATTAGTGTTGAAACGATCTCACCGGATACTCGTTAGCTCGCTCGCCCGAAACTCGGCTCGTTTGTGCGGCCAGCTCGTTTGCACTAACGAACACCGTACACCGTACTCCGAACACATGGCAGTACATGTCGACCGGGTCGATCGAGAGTCCAGTCCCGCGCAAAGTGAAAATCACTCGCAGTTACAGGTGACTGTATGCCTGCACGACACTTGAGTTGTTTCAGTTGTCGTTGCAGCTTTGGTGGACTCTACTGATGTCTTGTTCCGCATCTGCTGACCTGTCGCAGGATATGCTTCGGTCACCTCTCCATTCGAGTGAAAGTTACGCTCAGTCGTTTGGAAGTTTTCTCCCGCGATGCAGCGAAGACCAGGGCTACTTGCAATCTTTGCAAAACGGTCTATTCTTACAAAGGCTAATCGACGACGGCGCTGAAAAGACATCTCGACACCAAACAGCAGTCCGAAGTGAAGCAGCAGCAACCCCAAATGCCGGCGGTGATAATTCATGTAATTTGAACCAGCTGAAAAAAATCGAACTAAAAAAAAAAAAATTCAAAAAAATAATCATATTTGCCACATCAATGAAACTCGTTAGCTCGCTCGATAGCTTGCTCGTTAGTGGAACTGATCGCTCGTTTGTTATAGATACACTCGTTTCAACACTACTGAAAATAATATACTATAAACAAATCTGAAGAGAAGGAAAACACAACTGAAGAGGCAAAGCACATGAAGCACAGAAATATCTCTCAAGGAATCCATATACATCAGTTGCGGCAAAGAGTTGGGATCCAGAGAAGCCTGCATTGGCGGCTCTCCACCCTAGTAGTCCTTACCTCAACACTGGTCTATCCATGAAAGAAATAAACATGTGCAGTGATAAGGGGCACCCCGCAAACGATTTTTTGTCGCTCCTGAAACAAAAATCGCTCTTTTCGTACTCAGACCCCCCCCCCCCGAAATGAACTCAACTTGCTATGCTAGATAATGCAAAAAAGCATGCATGTAAACGTTCATGCACAGTGTTGGCCGACTTGTGATTTTGGCTCCCTCCCCTACAATGAATGATGTTCGTTTCAGGGAAGACAATTCTCTTGGCGACAAGCACCCTGTGTCCAAATGGGGATGAAGTGCACAGCATGGTGCCATAGTCATGTGAACAGGGTCGGAAGGAGACTTGCTGCAAGACATCAAGCAGGGGCGTCACATGGCAGTGAGGAGTGGCATGACTAGGGGCCGGAGGTGTGCCCCGCGGAAACAAATTCGGATTTTTCGGCCAGCAGGGCACATTTTAGCGCTCTTTTGGGTGAGTTGTGTGGACCATTAATGCATCCTGGACGAAAGCTGGTACGACCATGGTGGCACTGGTCATACCGTGTGCATCACGTGTTCAAGTACGTACCTCAATACCGTACTTCTTTCCCATGTCAGCACTGATGACGTGAACAATCTCCAGTTTGTCGCGAATCTCATTAGCCACCATTTCAAATAGGTCCAGGCTGCCAAGGAAGAAGGAAGACAGAGACAAAAACGATACGGAGGTTAAGCAAGACACATTTTCATTGGATTTCGCACTGCAAAGCACGTCAAGCTCAGCGACGAAATTCTCATTGTAAAGAGGATCATTAGGAAGCAAAATTTGCACTAGCGTAACGTGGCCAGCTGGTACATTGGTACAGACACAGTACACAGCAGCAAATTTACGACTGTCCTGACATGAATCCGTGATTCGTGTTCCAACTGCTTTCCCGAACAAAAAGTGTAAAAATTCGCAACGCCTTTTAAGTGTCCACGGCTTGAATGCGAAATGAATATTGTTGATTTCGGGGATGACAAAAGAAAACTTTTGCGACGACCCCTCTTCACACTTACGCCTCTGCATCCTCGCTGGGAAAGAATCCAATGATCGCTGGTTGTCCGTTGCGGTGCAGAGCGGTAATATGCTCTCGTACGCGCTTCTCAGTGGCATCAATCTTCTTGGCGGCTTGTCCAGTCTTGCGGCGGAGATAGTCCATAAATGCTGTACACATGCAGATATATGAACACATGCACGCGCACACACACCAGACATAAGACTACAGAGAAAGATAGGCCGTTGCACACTAAATTACGGAACAAATTCTAAAAACGTACATCCTGCATTTGCCTCCTCGAAGGTCAAAACCAAGATCAGTCTCATTTTCTGAATGGACTAAACGCAACTCACAACCCCAGACATCTCACCCCATGCTGTGCCTGTCGGTGAGTTGTGTACCAACATAACGAACAAACAAAGGCAAACAAGATGGGATAAAAAGCTCCACTCACCTTTCTTCTTCCTTTCGCCATGGTAAGGTTCGACGATCTTGCCGTCGCGGTAGAAGCGCAGGGTTGGGTACGAGTCGACCTTGTTCTCGTTACACAGGTCTTTCTCGGCTTCACAGTCGACCTGCAGTGGATGCATACATGCACATACGGATTACGTGGGACTAAACATCCCCATAGTGTACCTTTTGAGAAGTAATCTCGAGGCATCTTGCAGCTTCATCCGTAGAGAGTAGCTGGGTGGACACACCCATTCCCACAGCACTGCAAACTGAACCGATTCCATTGATGTACAGCGTTTCGGCAAAATTGCCATCGCCAGGTACGAAATAAAACAATGACGTACCTGACGATGGCAATTTTGCCGAAACGTTGTACATAAAAGGAATCGGTTCAGTTTGCAGTGCTGTGGGAATGGGTGTGTCCACCCAGCTACTCTCTATAGAGTACCTTCGATAGGCAAATAAGTTGAAATAACTGAATGCACACATGGACACCCGGCTCTGGCCTTCTTTGCTGTACTTGTGGCTCGCACAACTCGGACAGAACACATTCGCATGTAATAATCCAGGCACGTGCACTCCCCTAAAATGTCCGATCCACGTTCAGCATGCACATAATGACCATGAATGACATGCACCAGCCATCCTACACATATGCGGCCATGCACCCCCTAAAATGGGGGACCAGCTACGCCCCTGTAATCTTTTATCAAACAATCCGACAACCAGCCAAGCGCCCGAACACATAAAAGCGCATGAGCACACACAAATCATATACTAGTATGGCAGAATGGGTCACATAAGATTGCTAAACCGGTCAGAAAAGCCACGGGGACAAATGAGTTGACCGCCAGTCTAGCAGAATGCAAACGCCTGCTTGAAAGTGCAAGCCAGACTTCGTCAGGATTCGGGACTCAGTTCTCGAGAGAACCAAGCTACCGTATTTTCCGCAGTATAAACCGCACTGGAGTATAAGGCGCACCACCTTCCCCCATTTTTGCCACGGAATACAGTCAGACCTCGCTTAACCGCACACATCTGTTTTCCACAAAAATATCCGGATAGGCGAGGGAACCGGATAACTGAACACACATACCATATATGCATGTGGCATGTCAAAAGCAGTGACATCGTACATACATGTAGACGGGTCCTATGCAGTACAACTAGCATGCACAGTATGTAAAACAAGCGAGAAAAATGACAAGTGCATGCAACTGAGTGCTGTCCACATGCACCCAGCAGGTCAAGGACCTCATTTGCCTGTACAACTCCCTGATTCTAGCATCTGGAAGCCACATGCAACCGGATACGACGAAGCTTTTTGTACACATTTTAACCAGTTTGTACACAAAATCATGCACCGGTACGCGGATCGCGAGGTCCGGTTATGTTGTATGCATAACATATGCTGCACATCGGTAACCAGCGATTTTCTTCCGGATGGCGAGGGATCCGGATAAACGAGGACGGGATAAGCGAGGTCTGACTGTACAGACATCTAAATTTTATTATTGTTAATTTGATCGTCGGAGAATAAGAAGCACCTCCATTCTTTTGGGTGAATTTTAAGTGTTCAAACAAAGTGCGGTTTATACTAGTGCTCTGGAGAGCATGGTACACACTTACACGCTTACACACGTACCTGATACATCTTCATTGGCGGGTTGAGCTTCTCGCAGGCGCGAGCCGCCTTGTCCCACTCAGCGCCCATCAAACGACAATGGCCGCACCAGCGTACATAGAACTTAACCAACATACCCTGGGCAGACAACGCAACAGCACGTACACAAGGAGAGAGAGAGAGAATGAAGAGAGCTTTCAGCACACCATCAGCTAGCAAGTCATACCCCACATATCAGACAAAGGTCTCAGAAACTAATAGCGAACAAACACAAAACCCACTGTTCGGATTTCTACTGATAGAATCCTGTGTCATTGACAATGTGCCATACGGGAACTGATGCAGCCGGCTGGTATCAAGCAAGATGCATGCTTCGCCACCTATCGACTTATTCATTCTGTTGCTACTATTGAACAGCCAAATAATCGGCATCTTCGTTTTCACCACTACCAAAATACTGACAGAGAAACATTGAAACGTCACAATAATGAAGTGAGGTACACAACAACAAGTGTAACGGCTCGGGGTGATTGACAAGTAAAGTCTGACTACAGAAAGTTGTGACTAGGTTGTCTTACATCTCCTTTCTTGATGGTGGACTCGAATTCACCCATTGTCAAGTGGTCGGAGTATTGGTCGGGCTTGCTCCACGATGAGCTGGCATAACGCTGGACAGAGGCAATGATGCCCTCGGCAGAATAGTCCTGGAATCAACAAGAGAGAGAGAGAGAGAGAGAGAGAGAGAGAGAGAGAGAGAGAGAGAGAGAGAGAGAGAGAGAGAGGTTAATTAATAATTATGAATCGGGCTGTGTTTACATGAGGCATTTCAACCCGTGTCGAGTTTCAACCCGCCATGAACACAGATTGACTGGCGTGTTTACATGACACATTGTGCTTGACCCGAGCTTATTTCAATCCTCCCCTCGGGATACCATTACACGTGAAAGTGCTGCTCAACGATATCCAGTCGCGTCACTCAAGTTTGCGCCTTGCATCATTCCGCAGCCCAGTGTTCGCAGGTCTATGGCTGCGCAACGCCCGACGCGTACTTGCGTGACGCAACTGGATTTCATTGAGCAGACCTGTAGATGGTTGAAAGATAGGAAGACTTACTTTGCTGTCATAGGGATACTCGACACCGTCGCGGAAGGTCACCAGATTCGGGAAGGACCCAATCTGGTACTGCTCAGCCAGAGATCTGTGTAGACGAGCCACACACAGCCACACATACACACAAACAGACACAGACACACACAGCCATAACCACACAGACAGATAGATAGACACACACACACACACACACACACACACACACACACACACAGACACCTTTTTGACCTTTTGACCTAGACGCCTATCGCAGGAGGCGATGATAGCGATGCTACAGCAGAAGCCATAGCAATTTGTGCTGGGATTGCCCGCTCAACAGCATGCAAGGCTGAAGAATTGACTGCCACTATTCAGCCTGCTCTACCTAAGGGAGGAGAAAAGGGTATCTTCGGGCTGTTGTGCAATGTGCCTTTGTAGTCAATATACTAAAAACAAAAGAGGTTTAACACTTGGAAGGAGGACACACTTCATGTTCTTCGACACCATTTTGAAAATGTTCATGAGTTCACTTTCGAGCCTTCCCTTCAGGTGATATACAAGCAAAAGCAAAGAAAGAAGACCAGTTTTAAATTAAGTACAGCAGAGTGGTGATAGAACAGTGCACAGAAGAATAGCTGAAAACAATAACGATAAAATGCGTGAGCCGTACACACGGAATGACAAAAAGGTGAAATATTCACTGGTTGAGGGAATGGAAAAGGGAAAAGCGTGAAGAAAAAATTCACTGTCACGACCAGGGACCCCCGCTTGTGGCCAGCGATGCTCTAGCCAAAAAGGTGAAAGTGTCAAGAAACCAACAAGAAACTGGACATGTGGTATCGGACGTGTCCACCTCACATGCTGACTGGCGTGTTGGGTCTGATAAGTGTGAGTCGTCTATTGCTAGTCATTTGTTGGAGCATCCTGAATGCCATGCTGTGTGTTCTGAGTATTGTTTTTTTCTCCCTGTCACCTGTCCGCAATGTTATGTTGCGTATGTATATTCACACAAAGAAATCTAACCTATGCAACCAGAAGCAGATGAAATTCACACTTGCTCTGTAAGGTAGGTCGTCAACAACTCGTTAGTTTAGTAAGTCCATTGGCTGTCTCCTGCTGCTGCACTACATGTCTCGCTTGCTAAGGTTTCTTCACACTTTCACCTTTTTGTCATTATTTATATGTGTATGGGTCACACATTTTATTGTTGTTGTTTTCAGCTATTCTGCTGTGCGCTGTTTTATCACCACTCTGCTGTACTTAATTTTAATATAAATTGTTCTTGTTTCTTTGCTTTTGCTTGTATTTCACCTGAAGGGAAGGTTCAAAAGAGCTCTCATGAAAGTGTTCAAAATGGTGTCGAAGAACATGAAGCGTGTCCTCCTTCTAAGAGTTCTAGCGTTTTTGTTCCTGATTAAATATATATTTCCTCATTCTTGTCAAATTCGGCCGCAGGGAGTGGAATCATCGTGTCCACTTTCACGTGAAATGATATCATGTGTGGAAGGTGCGGCATGGCCAGGGGCGTATCCTGACGGGTTCAAAGCATTCCTGCCAGCCAGGTAAGCCCGCGACGTCTATGTGTGTGTGTGGGGGGGGGGGGGGAGGAGAGATCATTTTGGATGGAGATTATTTTGGTGTCCACACCACACTATGCCCTCATTTCCCAGTAGCATCAGTCACGTCATGTGACTTGCCACTCGACCTGGCAACAACATCTACACACTATGAACGTACTGTGCATCCTGCGCGTTCAGCTTGGCAAAAGCGACGTTCTCCAAATCCGATGTGCCCTTCAATACCTGGGTCCAGTTGGACTGGAATTCCGCACACTTCTCACACCTGCATGCTCATGAAGAGAACACACACACACACACACACACACACACACACACACACACACACACACACACACACACACAGGCAAAGAGAGACACACAGGCAAAGAGAGACACACAGGCAAAGAGAGACACACATATGAACATATGCTGCGGGTCCGGGTGGTACTGATTTCCGTCAAATTTGCTTCGAACATTGGAAATCTTCGACGAAAACCGAACCACAATCGTAGACACCTTTGCTCAAAAATCGAAACCAAAATGTTTCATGTAAAACACGAAAAAAGGATGAAACACGCCACCTAAAGAGTAATGGCGATGAAGGAGGTGTCGACATCAATTATTTTTAATATTCTGCAGGATGACCTATGACTTGCGTACCATGTCGTGTAGAAATAGACCACTACGACGTCTTTGCTCTTCACCGTTTCCTCGAACGTGTTGTGGTCCAATTCAAACACGCCTTCAGCGTCTTTTGGGGCCAGCTCGGCCAGGCATTGGGCTGCGAGAACGACCAAAGCTAGGCATGCCACTCTGGGCAAGCCACAGAGAACAGATCTCATCTTTCGAGGCCTCCGTCGACCGACAAATCGACCAAGCTTCTTCCTCCGAAACCAAAATCACGACAAAAAACAACTCAAGGAAGGGCTTTGGTAGTGTTATATCAGATTATGGAACCGAAGTAAAGTTCAAAGCTGACGTGTGTTGCGAAGACACGTAGAGTCCACGTGCATGCAAAATAAAAGGTCACGAACCCTGGCGCCAGCGCGCTTATGGGAGTAGATCTGTACGGACCAGGCCGGTAGACCTACGCAGTGTAGCGTGAAGCCGCGGAAGCCGGATCGGATCGCGGAAGGGGCGGGGACTCTGGAGGCAAGTTACGGCGGGAGTTCGTCTACTTATGGAAGCCAGGCAGCCCAACTCCAAGTACTGAAAAGGCCAAGGCCATACCAGGACCGATCGACCGACAGGCCTCTGGCTCTGCATCTGCTGCAGAGTGCAGACGCCAAGAAGCTTTACTACTTCTGGAGCTGGAGGACGCTGATGTCAGCAAGAGTTCATAACCCCCATGAACTCTTGATGTCAGTGATGACAACATGCCATCGCGTCTGAAAAGGGAGCATCAAGAAGTACTATGCTATGCTCCTCTAGCTCTGCATGCTTGCCTTCATTTATTATTATTATTATTATTATTATTAAATTTTGAATAGGGCAGTCCCACAGGCCTAGGGCCTTTTTACAGGGCACCCTATGAATTGTTGAATAGATGAACGGAAGTTTCTGAGCAAGGAGATTGTTTCATATACCTGCGTTTTTCTAATCTCCTTATGTTGTCTGATGATTGGTTTTTGCCATGAAACTCTGAGTTACAACAAAAAAACAGCCCTATTTACTTCCTTTTGTGTACCTATTGTAGGTAGATATCTACGCGCCTATTTTTGAAATGGACTGTACAGTATGTAGAGTGGATATCCCTTGACGATGATCCTTCTTGGACAGGTGGTCGCCTTATCCGAGTGGTCGCCTTGAAAGGTTTTACTGTGCCCGTGATGACGTCAAAGGTTACTGCTGAGTGCTGACTTGACTGATCTCATCTCAGACTGCAGTGCGTCTTGTGCACTCATCGTTATCAGCTGGTTATCGATCATCGACATGCGCGCGGTATGCACATGTCATAGATCATGATTAATATCGATATTTTATTATAAAATCGATTGTGGATAATCCGATTTGAGAAATTACATGTTCACTTTTCACTTTGCAGTTTGGGCTGCTGGCTGCTGACAACAAAATAATTGTTAGCTTACGATCAGCGAGGTAAAGCCCGTGACGGGAGTGATTGCGACGATTTTCGTGCATTTGTTGCCCCTCGGACATCGTCTCTATCTAGATCTAGTCCGCGCTGCAACGCTGTTCATTTGCTCTTTGAGGAGCCAGCGAAAAAAATAATGAGTATACGTGTGTAATTGATTCTGAAACAGCAAATTTGGACAATGGACACTGTTGGCGAAGGGACCTCGGAGGTGGACGTGCGTGAAGATTTATCCTGCGGAACAGTATCAAGCAGCAATGGAACGGTCACGGAGCCAGATCGAGATGCGGCCGAGGTGAACCAAGGCAGCGCGACCGGATTGTCGGCCAGAGATTTGTCGGCGCTGGACAAAAGCGCACAGGCACGCCACATCAGAGAAATTGGCATCTTTTCGGCTCAGCGTAACTTCCAGGAGCTGTTCAACTGCCTAGATCAGAACTACCGTGGTGAGTTTCTACGCTGGATAAGCGAGGAGTACGACGCAAGGCGACGGACTTCATTTCTCTCCTACACCTTAGGTGAGTACAATGTACATGTACATAAACACGAACAAGAGTAAAAAGGACCAAGGAGCTACAAGTTACACTATAATGTCCACTAACACCACCAGTTACTAAGCAATCAGCTCATGCGATAACAAGAGTACAATACATAATCCCCCAGAGTGTGCAACGCCTGATCCAGCTCTGCATAAGACCTTGGTCGAGCGTAGTCGCTGATGTCATGCGTACGCGCCTCACCAGCGCAATGCCGGTCTCGAACCCCCCCCCCCCCCCCCCGATTTTTTCCGACCATTGTTCGGGTGTGACCACTAAGTCATGGCCACGCGACGTGCGCGCCCCATGCTATGGCCCAGTCGGCCCAGTCCACAGCGGTTCTCTAGCTATGCCGCTTGGTAGATCTACATGACGTTGTACATTGTTGTTTTCTAGTATCTACGTAGATAATACAAAGTAAAGTAGATCTGCACTGAATGTACAGCTACGCATTCGCTTCGGAAAGAGGTGCATGCATCTGTTGAGCTGCTGCGGAAACTTTGAAAGTAAGTTTCAAATACTAGTTTCTGAATAGTGGCCGTATCGTGCTGTAATTGTCGTCGCGGCTCGTGCTTTTTGAGCTGTCTTAGAGTTCGTCCAAGCGTCTAAAAGAGGCAGGCTCAAGACCAGCTGCCATTGAATTTTGGTGACACTCAAAAGAAAAGTGTAGCCACTATGTGTAGTGTCGAAGGTAAAACAAGGAGCGAAGCTTTGAAAATCACCTTCAAGTTCAACATCCCATCATCCAATAATCAAAATTTCTCCGAACTGGGGACAATTGTGACTGAGACAGGAAAGATGCAGGAAGCCTGCCTTATGGAACCTACTGTACAGTGGAGTCAACATCGGGTGGCTCGGAGTACAATATTACGGACAACTGTTACAGACAAGCTGCTGGAGAAAGTACCAATCAGCTATTCTGCAGCAAAGAAATTGAAAATGTCTTCCTTGTGCTGCGTGTCTTCAATAATGTTTTAGCTGCGGCGTGTTGAAAATAGGGGTACTGAGTGAAGTTACATTTTATTTTATTTTTTTATTTACTGTCTGCACTTCATGGCACATAGTGAAAATACCCAATACATGTACAAAGAAGTGAGGGTGAAACCAACCACGGACTGAGGGCAAAAAGGCAAATTAAAAAATAAAAATAAAAATAAATAAATAAATATTCGCATGCAACGACGCAAATCCACACAATTCAGTAGGCACTTCCTTTCTATCAAACGTTTTCTTTCCCTTCTCTTCAGGATAGTACAGGGAATGTTGTAAATTTGAAAAACACATAACTATATAGAGAATGAAAGAAAGAAAAAAGTCAACACTTCAACATAGGTGTTAAAATGATTAAAGTGTTAAAAACTCAAAACAAACAGCTGCAAGTTGTAGACAAACACGTTGAACACATCAGGGAACACTTGTCACACTTTCACGAGGTGTGACACCAAACAACTGCAACGATAACACATTCTCCTTCTGTACACATAGTTCTGGATCTAGTTTACGAATATACAGAGCTTCTAACACAGCAAGATATAACTTAGACCTTCCACGAGTCAAAATCGAAAAGATATCATCACTATACAACTTACGACAACTAGCACTGCCCGACAAATGACGCTTGATGGACGATGTCCGATCACTTAGCTCTGTCACCTTCGATGCCTGCCGTTGTTCTCTTCCGTTAGGCTTGTATTGTTATGTGTTTTTCAATTTTCCAACATTCCCTGTACTATCCTGAAGAGAAGGGAAAGAAAACGTTTGATAGAAAGGAAGTGTCTGCTGAATTGTGTGGATTTGCGTCGTTGCATGCGAATACTTATTACGGAACTGTTTTCCCACCGCCTCCAAACTACTGTTTGAAATAAATAAATAAAATAAATTTGTATAGCAGCTGGCATGTTCAAGTACAGTATGCAATACCGTACATTGGTGCTGTACCGATAGCGCCAACGTGTGAACTAAGTTACTTGTTACACATGTGAGTAGAAAGCACGGAGGGTGCCGTTTACGCGCGCCTTCAGAGTATCGGAGAAGAAGCTGTACATCAGCACCTTCGACAACTCAAGGATGGAGAAACCCACGTAGATGGGTTTGTTTAAGATGACTTTGCGCTTGAAAAACTCCACCGCAACCAGCTCGTTATCGTACACGATGCTGCGCTTGTAAGTCGGCTTGGCGATGGCGCGCCGCAGCCTGTCCACCTCTTCTTCCGAGCGGACGAGCTTCAGGTTCAAGCGGCGGCGGACATTCTCCATCGTCTTGCCAAACACTGCATTGTTCATGAGCTTGTAGAAGTCCTTCTCAAACTCTGATGCAGCATTCTTGCGCAGATCGGTAATCAGCTGGATGTACGAGCGCATCCACGGACACTGCGAGAACTGGAGGACGCGATGACTGCGTTCACTTCCACACCTAGCGCAACGTATGCCTGCAGATTCACGTAATGGCACACGTAGCGAGTTTTTGGCAGCAGAGTGAGCATCAGCTTCTTTTCCTTCTGTTTGCCCAAGCCGAGCTGTTGCGCCAGCTGCTGCTGATGCGGTGACAGCATGTCATCTGTCACGCTCATGTTCTCAGGGCAAGGAGGATACTCGTTCAACGCATCGTGAATGCCATCAGGAATCGTGAGATCGGATTCCACGATGTATCTGACGGGTGAATCGTGAGGATGCGTCGTGGCTATGTCATTCACGAGATCGTCGGTAATATCCTCCACGAACCTGAACTCGCCGATAGGCAGGGGTCGCTGCATGGCCCAGCCGTACAAATTGTTCGCATCGACGTACTGTAGATATGTTGTCGGCTGCGAAGGATCATATCCGTCTGGGATCAGGTCGTTGTTGGCCTCGGCATATCTCTGCACGCTCATACTGATTCCACCGCGGATACCGTGCTCGATGAACGTGTGCATGGTGACATCAGAAAGTAGATCCAGACTGACATCGGACACCTTGAGCAGTGCACTCCACGCAAACCCGGGCAGCGTGTAATAGTTGGCCGGATCGAGCGAGCACGTGGCGATGGCAGTGGTGCGGAAGTTCTCGAATACATCTGCCAACAAGTACACGTCCGTCTTCAGGTAAAGATCGTGATAATCACGCATAGTGACGCAATCAAACCTGTTCCAGGCTGTTCTGGCATTGCTGTACTCATCGTCAGTGATGTGCGCCTCGGACAGCGACGAGTAGAACTTCTCTCGTGGGGGAAGACTGTCCTCGTCGAAGCGGCTGAACGAGTCCATATACTCGTACGGATACACACCTTTCCGAAGCAGAAGATCCGTCTTCTCGGGATCTTCACCATGCAGATCACGCATGCGGACGAACGCTGCTCGAGGTGTTGCCTTCGCGAGCTTATCTAGCGAAGTGCTTAGAAAAGCGTACGAGTCGATGAAGACAAACTGCCACCACATCATAGCGATGTACTTTTCCGTGTTGGAGGGAACGATGTTAATGGATCCCCGCTGTTCCGTATGCTCCTTGTCTGCAGCATCTTGATACGTCACTTCGTCAATCTTCGTTTTACCGAGATGGCTAGCGATGTGATGTACATCGTACTCCTTGAGGTTGCGGAACACCACCGGGATGTTCACCTTGGCCGGTACGATGCGTAGCTGAAGGTTGCAGGAGTTGTGCGCTGCTCCGCGAAACGCACCCGTCATGTGATCGTGATCGCGCACCCGATCCCCTCCGAGTCGACGTTTGCATATCCAGCAATCCCTGGCGTTGAGAAAGCAAGCCTCCTCGTCGGGCGTCAGGTTCATCGGGTGACGATTCTCCAGATCTTCACGCATGGAGACTTCTTGCTGTTCCAGTGAGGTCAGGAACTGCTCTACTGCATCTTCACCCGTATGCTGGAACGTATCCGTCACGGTGCCATCACTACGCACGACGATGTATGCAGCAGAACAGGGTAGGTGCTCCGAGTACTGCTTTGTCTTCTCCCCAATGCTTTTAGGCTGAGCACGCGGTGCGATGATGCTCTCGAAATCCGCATTCTGTAAAATTTAATATACAAAATTTCGGCGCTGCAAAATTTCGGCACTTCACGATTTTTGATATTTCGGCGGCAATTTATTTTCGGCGGGGGGTGGGGGGCATGGTATAGTGCGACAGATGCTGTGAAAAATTTCATCGGCGTTTTAATTTAGGCGTTTTGGGTCGGTGCCGAATATAGCCGAAATTGAATAGCTGCCGACAATTTGTATACTCTAATTTCAGAAATTTTCGGTGCTCAATATTTTCGGTATGAGGGCAACAGGCCAGGTTAGGTGAACAGAAATTTTCGGTACAGAGAAACAGTTCCCTATTGGATTATGTGTGTTAGTGTTTGTTCGGTGTATTGAAATTTTAGGTATGAAACAGACGCACCGAAAGTACCGAAAATAAAAGTACACCGAAAATTTGTGAAATTACAGTATTTACAGTAAATCACATAGGGTGCACGAAGCTGCCTCTCGTACTGTGTGAAACGAAGGGTTAGGCTTTCTACTCATGTATATCTCATCATTTCGTCAGTGTGGGTAGGGTGGGAAAAAATTGAACCCCCCTTGGAAAATTAGGGACGTTTAGCAATGCGAAAATTCGAACTTTTGGTGGTGGCGATATTTCGCGAAAATCTATTTCGAAAAAGAAAACTTGTGAGGTTTAGCAATGCGAAACGACTTTTTCTCGAAGCTATTTGAATCTTATAGTACCGTACCGTATACATGGTATATGCAGTTCAGTCTCAAGCAGGGGGCTGTAAAATTACTACTCCCTGTAGTGAAATGCGTACCGAGAAAAGAGAAAGTTACTTTCGCAAATCACTGCAACTTCGCGTCCAAGTTTTCGAAGTTTCGACCTTTGTTTCTGTACTCATTCCCAGACTCGAATTTTCTTTCGAACTTTCGCGTTGCTAAACGTCCTTAATCCTGGATCCGCCCCTGCTACGTATGCGCTGATGCTGATGCTGATGCAATACGTACGAGCAGGGAGAAAATTTGTACACAGGAAATGGAGCACGAAAACGACAAATATGGCTTTCTACAGGGGTGCGCCGGTTGCTGAAAACCTACAAAGCGCATTTTGCATTTCGCACGCGTCGCCATGACGATTTCTACTGTAATGCGTTCGTTTTTGATCTACAGGTTTGGGTAGAAACTACTTCTTTCGGTAGAGGTGTTCGTTTTTGAAAAAAAATCTACTCAAAAGGGTAGATTCTACTTTCCTCTACCGGCTCTACCGGGAAAAAGTTGGTAGAATCCGGTAGAAGTTGGTAGAGCTACGGGATTTCCAGCAAGATCAAGGATTTGTACACAACTCCATACAAAAAAGAAACATTTCACGTACACATCGTGTAAACTACTAAATCCGGTAGAACATCGTTCGTACACTGCCTCTACCATCTACCTCTATCGGTAGAGTGACTCTTCTCTACTCTACCAGGTAGCTAAAAAAAGAATGCAGCCTTACTCCTCATACCATGTAAACGAACAATGCATCTGAAATAAATTTGTTGCGTTTTTTTTATCGCCAGCAATGATGTGTGAACACTATCTATGGGTAGGCATGGACTCGGATGGAGAGCCAAGGATAAATTTATAGAAAAGAAAAAGGACCAAGGAACTACAAGTGACGCTATAGTGTCAGTTGTAGAAGGTCAGTACCGTCGGTCAGTATCGTGCAATGTTATCCCATGAGCTGATTGTTTAGTAACTGGTGGTGTCAGTGGACATTATAGCGTAACTTGTAGTTTCCTTGGTCCTTTTTTCTTTTCTATAAATTTTTTATGGGTAGGGAGTTCGCCATAAAAATCAAACTTGTGAGTTTGGCCGAAAACGCTCGTTTTTGTTATGTTAGAAATACTAGTAAGCTGTGAAAATATGTTTGAAATATTTTAATCTCACGATGGTGTGTGTGTGTGTGTGTGTGTGTGTGTGTGTGTGTGTGTGTGTGTGTGTGTGTGTGTGTGTGTGTGTGTGTGTGTGTGTGTGTGTGTGTGTGTGTGTGTGTGTATCCCATATGGTGCAGTGGTATGTGCAGCGATTTCCAATCGATAGGTTGCGGGTTCGATTCCCGACGATTATGGTCACACACGTCTTTCTTCTCTTTCTCAGACTCTTCCTGACTTTTCTTTCATTCTCCTGGGTGGTTACCAACAGCCAGTGCATGCTGGAGTATGTGGTGTGATGTGTGTGCGGGAAAAAAAATAATAATAAAAAAGACCAAAAAGTAGGGATTCACTGGCCAGAAAAAGCCACTTCATAGCTGTGTGGTGTAGACCAGGCTGAATAGTGGCGGTCAATTCTTCAGCCTTGCAAGCTGTTGAATGGTGCAATCCCAGCAAAAGCTGCTATGGTTTCTGCTGTAGCATCGCTATCATCGCCTCCGGCGATGGGCGTCCAATGGTCCAATGGTGTGTGTGTGGTGTGTGTGTGTGTGTGTGTGTGTGTGTGTGGTGTGTGTGTGGTGTTAACAGGTATGGGCACGCCCGGGCAGAAAGTATCGGTCGAGTCAATATCCGGTCTTGAAGGTTTGTCCGCCGATCACAAGCTGCAGGCCATAGCTGTGGAACTTCGAGAACAGCTACCTGCCGAGGCTATGGCACCACAAGAGAGAGTCGTCTTTCCTACGCATGGTGCTGTAAGTTTTTCAGCCTCGTAGCTTAGGCCGTTCTTATTTCATGTACTGTAAAAGCAGACATTTGTGGTGGTTTAATTTTTTCGGTATTTTCCAAAATCGGCGGTTTGGTGGAGGGAAATATTCAGTAAACCCGTTTTCCAGGTAAGTGTACTAGTACCGAAAATTTCGGTGCGTTTTATTTTAGGTAAAAATTGTCGGCACCAAAGTTACCGAAAATAAAACACCACCGCAAATTTATGCTTTTACAGTACCGTAAAATCCCGTACGCAACAATGCCCACCCTCTTGACCAGGGATCGCACAAACCCTGAGTTTTGATGGGTCTGTACGACTCCTGGCTCTTGACCTGTGTGTGTGTGTGTGTGTGTGTGTGTGTGTGTGTGTGTGTGTGTGTGTGTGTGTGTGTGTGTGTGCTGTGTACAGTCTGTATCGGCTACAGAGTGACCGGATATAAGAATATATCGGCTACAGTGATATTGGTATGAAATATCAAAAGCAAAACGTATTTTTTCCAGTATAAAAAATATCGCTATAACCAATATTTAAAAAGCTTTAATACGTGGAGATAAAAATGTGGCCACGAAAACGTTTAAGGAACAAGCATGAAAACAAATTTTGCTAATGGTGTTTGTACTGAGTGCGCAGCTTACTCTATTTATTGCGTTAATAACCAATATTATCGGATGTAATGATATATCGGATATTATGATGGCAACAAAGAATCAAAACATGCATAACACACTTTAGAACGAGGTCTGTCTCGTTGTCCAGGAAACGACCAATCAGCGACATTCCCGCCAAGGGCCTTATCAGAGTTTAAAGCCCGCTCAATCGTTATTTTACTACTCTTGGTGACGCGTCGAGGGCCTTGGATTAGTTTAAAGCCCGCTGAAAATACTCTAAACTGGTGCGTACAACTCCCTGTATGCATAATAGTACGGTGCAGATAATGAACTCTGCATAACGTGTACGGTGTACTACTAAAAGCTATGCAATTCAGAAGTGTGTACGGTTTTTGCCTCCCGTATTCTTTCATCTGTATGAATTTTCTTTGTCAACAGCTTGCGGAAACCTATAAAAAGCGAGGATCAGTCATTAGAGTTATCGACAAGGGGCTCTCAAAGCCCCTAAATAGCTCCACAAGCTACATACATGTATGTTGGACTCAGTAGAGCGTCCAGCCCCTATATGATGTCCAACCCCTATATAGAGTCCATTGGTCCAAAATCCACTGTACAGAGTCCAAAATTGGAATCAACTGTGAGCTCAGTTTAGATGGACATCACTCCCTGTATAGAGTCCAGCCAATTGGCTTCACCCCTATATAGAGTCCATTGGTCCAAAATCAACTGTACGGAGTCCAAATTTTGAAATCAACTATAAAGATTAAAGAGTCTTTATGTGGACAACACTCCCTGTATAAAGTCCAGCCAATTAGGCATCCCCTATCGAGTTCGAAATTAGACATAGGATCTGCTGTAAGCAGTGAATATTAACCAGAAAACGGCCTCTCCCTTTAATCCTTTACATCATTCACTTCTCAAGATAAAAAATATGTATTGAGGCGCCACTGCAGCCACTTCACTACATGAAAAACCCTACAAACACCATCCTCAAATCAAGTGGTCTCTTCGCAGACGCTGCAAATTACAATATCTCAATCATGCAGTGTTGCCAAATTATTGTGCACGCACACACACACATGCACCCACCCACACAACGCCAAGAAAATACCTAGAAAAAAAACAAGAATCGAAAGAGAATAATGGAGAGCCCAGGATTAATTATTTGTTTTCAAACTATTGCGCGCGCGCGCACACACACACACACACACACACACACACACACACACACAAACTTATACAACGCCAAGAAAACACCAAGAAAAGAGTAGAGACACAATACACACGCAACTCCAACAGCCATGCAAACGTCCACCCATTTACACGTAAAGTCAAGAGGGATAACAAATAATTATACGAAACGAATGCATACGGGGACGGGTACACGCACGTTTACATACATGTAGTAGTGTAAGAGAGTAACATAGTGCAGTGGTCAGCATAATACTAGCACATGCTGAGAGTGCAATAGCAAGCTTCACCATTGCTCATGGCCATGCAAATGTTCAGCAGCACTCAGTTCCGCAAGCTTCTGAAGATCAGCACACCTGCAACAAATAGATAGCACAAGGATACGCTTATTAACGTAATGATGCATGGGAGCACACAACTACCAAGTTCTCAACGAATGTGATGCTCAATGAAAATCAATCCACTCAAAGACCTGTGAACAGGTGACGGTGGGGACAATAATCTATTAGTAACACGAGGAATAAGATCGTTTGTGCACACTCAAGACGCACGGACACACCACCATACATGTAGTGTACACAGTGTTTCACTGCAACTACTTCGAAGTAAATTGAAATGAGATGATTTGAACAATCTGTACAGCGTTGCCGTCAGTCAGTCTTCCCCAAGATGGAAATGCAATGATTTGTTGTCACGAGGCAGTTTCACTGACACAATGTCATGTTCGTGACATCAAAACGGTTACTTCAGGGAATACGAGTATTAGCTTGAGAAGCTTTTTCTTGTCATTGGCATACAAGCAATCCTCCTACTACTACTAGTACACTGGCACTGCGTTTGTGGATCCCATTGTATTTGACATCATACTATAATTTGTAGAGGAAGAGTGTCGTGGAGTTTCACATAATTTTCACAGGGATAAAAATACATTTCTCATGAAATAATTATAATAATTGATGATAGCTAGACGATCGTATACGATTGATGCAAAGTCCTTGCAGTCCTTGAGGACTATTACGAAGTGGTTGATTACTTTTAGGGCATTCATTCAAGCAACATCAAACAAACACGATACGCTCCTTGAAAATGGAAACAAATTCAAGCATAACGACAGAACAGCAGACCAATCGAAACAAGTAAAAGCTTCCTTACCTCAGTCATCGTCCTGCCATGTAGTTGAACAGCCTTTTGACACGGTGGTACAGGCAGCTCTTGTCCAGTCAAACAGGGGTATCCTTGTGGCGTCGAACGAAAGAGAATGTCAGTGTATCTGACTCGTCAGATTGGAACTGTGCTGAACCTTTCTCTTTCTCCGCTTTCTGCTTTCATCCCTCGCTCTGATGAAACCGTTCTAACGTCTTACTGGCAGCAATGGCCAGCCAAACAGGGGATCCTTGTGGCGTCGAACGAAAGAGAGTGTCAGTGTACCTGACTCGTCAGATTTGAACTGTGCTGAACTTTTTCTCGTTCTGCAATTTCTGCTTTCATCCCGCGCACTGATGAAACGTCTTCAGAGAACCACAAGACGCTTTCCAGATTTGATTTTGAACGTCTCCTTATCCTCCTTGGTTACCTCGAGACAGATTACTGTCAGCAACTGCACAGCAGAACTGGCAGCCATGGCTGAAGTGAAGAAAGGAATGCGCTGCCACGAGGCAAGCAAAACTGAAAATGTGTTTGTTCTCTTTCGGGCACAACACACAGGACGGCGTGACTGGATAAACTGGACTCCTGGACTGTGAATAGGGGACTTGTAGAAAAAGTGTACTCCTTATAGGGGATTGCGCGGCAGGATGAAGCTGATCAAAACTGAGTGGACTCCTGGACTCTGTATAGTGGATTTTGGACCAATGGACTCTATATAGGGTGCTGGACATCATATAGTGCATGGACTCTATACTGAGTCCTACATGTATATGAATAAAAATGAAGCTCGCAATAAGAGCCCAGCATTTCATTTGCTTCCATTCTACTTTTAGTAGTCCTAAGTGGTGCTGAGTTACCATAACTTACCAGAAGAAAATATTCTTTCTTACCACACCAAGTCTCTCTGCACACAAACCACAAAACTACCCAATATAGTGGTACACACGCATAATGGAAGTGAGATAATGCATGTAACCTCGTTCTAAAATAGTTAGTGCATGGCAGGGAGGGTCTTATGGCTTGTTTGTGCCCTTCAGGTTAGCCCTCGGGCCTACGGCCCTCAGGCTAACCTGTCGGGCACTAACAAGCCATAAGGCCCTCCCTGCCATGCACTAACCTATAAATATTATTATTGGCTACAGTGATAACTTTAAAATACATGTTGCAATAATATCAAAGGCCCTATTTTTTTTTACTTTCTTCACGTTGCTTATTTTTATAGTGATACATGTACATGTACATAACAGAATTTTTTTATGGAAATGCGGGCACTGTCAACTATGCAGCATGCTCATTTGTCAAAACGCGCCATGCTGGAAGTATTTCCTTGCCTTTCATGTGTCGATCGAAAAAGAAAAGAAAAATCGATCGTATCGCATATAGTGATGCATCGGTTATAGTGATAAATCACGGAAATCAAATGGGTACGCTATAACCGATACAGACTGTACATCGGTATGCTGTGCTAGACGTAATATTACCTGGTAGTGACGCTGGTTGTGTGATGCGTGTGTGTGTGTCTGTGTGTGTGTGTTCATGTGTGTGTGTGTCTGTGTGTGTGTGTTTGCTTGTGTGTGCACGCGTGCGCTCGCATGTGTATCCATATGTGTGCGGCGTATGTGTGTGCGTGCGCGTGTGTGTGTGTGTGTGTGTGTGTGTGTTGGCTGTGGCATCACGCACGTGCACACACACACACACACACACTATCTCTCCTCTCAGAATGCCGACTGCGCGGTGGAGTCAACCATGCATGTCGACTCGTTCCTTTACACGGACGACGAGGTCGACTTTTTGACGGAAACGGGCAAGCTGCCTCGCCACTACTGCGCCGACTGTAAATCTCGTAATATCAAATCTCTCGGTACGTCTCTCTGTACATGTGTGCGTGCAGGTCGACTGTGATAGAGAGCCTAAAGCTGTGTTCACAACTGGCGCATGCACGCGTTCGTGCGTGTTTTCGCTGGGTTTGGGGCATCATGTGTATGGAAATGCGCCGAAGAAATTCCATGTTGTACAGTTGCGCTCGGTGAAATCCGGCCCGAAGTGCAAAGCCGGCGCCGCGAAGCCAGCTCCCATTACATCACTGGCGATTTGTGTGTATGAACTCAACTGTACGCACCTCGTGTAAAAGTTCGGAGTGCACGTGTTGCATGCTAAAAACAGTTCAAAATTTCTTCCATTCACTTCACGAAGTACAGCTCAAGATCAAGAAGAGGTAGAGAAGAAGGACATGGCCATTCCCAATGTGTGGGCTCTTCTCAAGAAGAGAATAATTCTACATCGTTGCGAGATTGCTGACCAGCTGGTGCAGGCACTGCACCTGGAGTGGGACTCGTTGGCTCCTGACACGGTTTCTCCATACGTGGAGTCAATGCCACGTCGTGTTGAAGCCCTAATCGAAGCAGACGGTGGCCACACAAAATATTGAAGCCCTGCTGCTCTGTGTATGAAATAAACTGCTTCGAAACGATCTCCGTCTTCTTTACTTGTGCTGAACTGAAATGAATGTTACACTTGTCTTTGTTTGGCGCGGTTTTTTACACTTTGGTGTAAGCATGCATGCGTATGAGTACAGCACATGCACAGTTCATACGGCACACGCGCACACTAGCACCTGTACAACTTTAGGGCGTCAAGGGCCGCATCAGTACTGGGCGCCAGTTACCGTATTTTCCGGGGTATAAGCCGCACTTTTTTTCGCTAAAAATCGGACCAAAATCGCCCCTGCGGCTTATACACCGAATATATTTGCGCGAATGAATGCTTAGCATACATCAGTGTGCATGCTGACGTCATGTGACATGTCATTCGTCTCAGCTTCGCGCCTGTGTTGCTGATCAACATCAATGGCAGCGAGACAGAAGATAGTGCAGATGACATGGAGTGATCTGTAGTCAACACAGCAATACACCAACATCTGTGCAGCAACCTGTGGTGCACTAAGGGCCTGGTCAGACTGCGGCAAATTTTGGTTGCCTGACGAAAACAGAACAGCGTCCAGAATTTGAATCGCGATCACACTACACATGTGGGGAGAGTGAAAATTCAAACTTCATTTCGAGCGTCAAGTGGTAATCTCCACGAACGACGTCAAATTCCTTCTCCTTGGGGATCGCCAACACCTTCAGTGCAATCCTTGCAACCATCCTTATGAGTTTTGTTGCTGTCCGTGGCCAATTAGCTCCTCGATATCGAGATGAAAAAATCAGTGATTGTCAGCGTCAATGGCGTATCAGCGTCAAATCCTGTTTGGAGCGGAAAAGCGTGGTCCGTTCTTGCTTTTTTTTTGGAGCGTCAACTCCCGCTTTTGCCGCTCTGGCGGCAAGTTACTATGGAGATTCGGATTATAATCCTAGGATTATTTCGATTTTGCCGCAGTCTGACCAGGCCCTAACACTTCATAATCTGATCTAACATGGTATTTAGCTCCATAACCATAATAAATTTGTAGGAAGGCCATTTGCCAATGAGTGTGAAAAATCTTGGTTTGTGGGTGCGGCTTATACTCCGAATACCAACTTTTAGTCAATAGTTTGCCTCGAAAAGGGGGGTGCGGCTTATACCCCGGTGCGGCTTATACCCCGGAAAATACGGTATGCACTTCGGGCCGGATTTCACCGAGCACAACTGTATTTTTCAGCGCGTACTGGCGGGGTCAAAAAATTATTACTCGAAGGTGTTGCGTGCCCTAGAATACGACTCGAACTGCTGTTTCTGTTAACCTTTTGCGCCCTGGCACTACACCCACAGATTCCTGCCACCGGTCGCGCTGCCACACGCAATAGTCCCAGTATGCATTTGAAAATTATCTAATTTCACTCCCCAGTTTCGTATTTTTTCATCTTGGTCTCATTGGAAAGCTACAGATCCCCTCTCTCTGAATATCGCCACTAGACACCCTGCAGGAGCAACAGAATCGCCTTCAAGCCTGTTGAGAGCTGCCCTATTGCGCCTGAGCGAGATTCTGTACCCACCTCCACAAATTGGTATCGTTTCTCATGTTTTGCTCCACGTAGAACGATGATTCAAAGTCCTGCAGATTCATGAAGCTCAAGCGATTCATTTGATCTCTACTTCGCATGCGCCGTGCAGCGATGAGTCACAGGGAAAGTCCGCTTTTGAGGCACGCCGACGCACTTTGAAGCGCTCTGTGCACAAACAATTTCAAGCATATCCGCGTTTCGTTCTTTGATACTCAGTGATTCCGCATCGCGCTATATCAAACGACATACCACTGAAAGGCTTATTCTCTCACCTTTCCAATTAATGAGCCGTCGTTCGCGACGATCGGATAAAAGACTGTGGAGTTAAAACAATTTGAACAGTGCACTGTACACGTATGCGCTTTTACGTGACGCACGTCTGCAGCATCAGGAAATCAGGGTATGACGGTTTGACGCGTATGTGCGGCATCAGTCCGCAAACGGTTAAAGCCTAAACACGCGTTTGGGCATGCATGAACCTCAAACATACCGCGTCCACGTGCCAGTTGTAAACACAGCTTTAGGTCAGGGGCGTAGCAGCCGGTCCGGCCGGTCCGGCTTTGGCCGGACCACTTTTTCGCCCGACCACGACCACCATAGTAAAACAATGCCAAAAGTGCCCAGAATGCAGCATTTTGCACCCTAATTTCAAAAAAATAATCCCGCCGGACCCCCCCCCCCCCCCCGGCCGGACCACCGCCAACGGTGGTGCTACGCGCCTGTAGGTATGTAAGTTGTGCCTTCGGATGCGGAACTTGGCATAGGTCTTAAGCGGGATTCACAGAAGCTTTTTTGCGATGCGACACGCGATGCGACGCGATCTGCGACGGACGCGTGCGATGCGAACTCGCGAAATACCATTCACAGAAGAAGTCAGTTATGCGACAACATCTTGCTGATTTGGCTACGTCACCATGATATTCGCGCGGTTTGATACAACTTGTACAAATTTATAGGCAACTCTTGAACCTTTGTACAACTTTGCTGTAGAAAAGGTCAAAATCGTACGCCAAATCGTTTGTCGCATCGCATCGCAAAAGTTGAGCCAAGCTCAACTTTTGCGATGGCCCTGTTGCGGCAGTTGCGTGGGGTCCGCGATGGTTGCGATTTGGGGATTTCCCGGCTTCGCGGCTGTCGCATCGCGTGTCGCATCGCAAAAAAGCTTCTGTGAATCCCGCTTCAACATGAAGTGTGTCCTATACATATACTAGTACTCTGGAATCTATGTGTAACAGGATGGCACTGCTTGCTATGGAGTCATGCGGCAGTGTGTTCGGCGGACGGTGTATGGACTCTGGCATCCCTGTTATTGTTCGCTATTGTCGCCTCCCGAGATAGCCTGTCTAAAGTGTGTGTGTGTGTGTGTGTGTGCATGCGTGCGTGTGTTTCCTCCCTCTTCAGTTTATGTGTCACACTCTGCATCAGTTTGTCAACTTCGGCATGTGTACACAAGTCTTCTTCCGTCATTAGAAGGCAAGAAAGTAGTGGACGTTGGCTCCCGGCTTGGCAACTGTCTATATGGGGTGAGATCTCTCTCTCTCTCTCTCTATCTATCTATCTCTCTCTATCTCTCTCTCTCTCTCTCTCTCTCTCTCTCTTACCACTTGCTTGCCTCTCGCCGTATGACACTGGATGTTTTCTTATCATCACCTATTCTTTCTGTGTTTTCATCTCACTGCAAAGTGTATGAGCACCCCCCCCCCCTCCCCTGCCGTCTTGACAGAATTCTAGGTTGGTCTGCTTATGAAATCCTTTACCTGCTTTTAGGCATTGAAGCCTGTTAGAGAGGCCCAGTCCTCATTTGTCCACCTTTACTTCTCTGTACTTGAAGTAGAAAAAATACAAAATTCTCTCTCTCTCTATCTCTCCAGGGCTATTTTTACTCAGAGGCTAGTCAACTAATCGGTGTGGAGATCGATAAGTTCTTCTGCGACCTGAGCCAGTCCACCTTGGAGAAGCATGGCATGACAGATCGTTGCCAGGTAAATGCCAGCATGCCAAGCATGTGGATGGTGCATGTGATGTGTCGTGTGACGCTGGAATACACCGCGATGTGCAGCAGAATATTTCGCTTCGCTCACCGACTCTCGTCCTGGATGCGATATCCCTTTATTGTTAAATGCTGCTATTGCTGTTGATTTTGCTATTATTGTTGATGCTGCTATTGTTATTGATGCTGTTGTTGTTGAGGCCAGTATTGTTGATGTTGCTATTGATGTTGATGCTGCTATTGTTGTTGATGCTGCTCTTTTCACATCCACAGGTGATCAATTCGGACATCCGACAACAGGCTGACCTGCTCAAAAGCGGTAAGTTTTTTCCCCGGCATGTGTGCATCGCTCCGTTGTCTGCACTTGGGCATGTCGTGCCTGATAGATGATATGCCAAATAACGTGCAGCTAGACTTGGGAGGGCGTTGCAGAGTACAGTAGTAGTTGGTCACGTGTAGGCAAAAAAATTGCAAAAACGTGTTAACGAACATACCGATATTTTGCTCCGTTTTGCCAGAAAATTCTCTTGCCAAAATTCTTCGATATTTTGCTAGCAAAATGTCGAAGATTTTCGGCAAGAGATTTTGCTAGCAGAATCGGGCTATGTCTATTTCGAAGTACTGCTCCCACAATCCAGCCACATCCCATATGGACATGGGACTTTCCAGTAGATTTATATGGCTGGTTGTGTGATCTTGAACCATTGCCAATGACTCAAGTTGCCTCATGGCGGTTGTTATTACTGCTGCTGGTGGTGGTGCTGCTGCTGCTGCTGTTCTTGTTGTACTCCATGCAGCTGACGTTGTCATTCTCAACAACGTCTTTGAGTTCTTTCTCACGGACGAGGAGCAAAGAAGGTGAGCCGCAAATCTTCTACTAGTGTTCAGGGTGTTAGCCAGGTCAAAATAGTGGGGGGGGGGGGGGGGATGGGAAACAGTTACCCCGAAACCTATCTTTGCATTTTCCGACATTATCTTGCCATGCGAAATGCAATGTACAAATGTGCACAATATATATACAACCCCCCCCCCCCCCCCCCCCCCCGGCCTTCACCCCAGACAACTGTGCCTTTATACCTTGTATGAAGAGTGCATAACCCCAAGAGTGTGCAACTGCTTGTGGGTGTTTACCCATGCATGTGTGTGTGTGTGTGTGTGTGTGTGTGTGTGTGTGTGTGTGTGTGTGTGTGTGTGTGTGTGTGTGTGTGTGTGTGGTGTGTGGACAGGCTCATATCCATTCCATTCCGTCTAACTATGTTTGTATATTGCCTTTTCATCTGTGCTGCTGCTATTGTTGCTGTTGCTAGCATTTGGCTCTTCCTGTACGAGTCTATTCGTCGCAATGGCTGCTACCTGGTCACCGTCCCTAGCCTGAGCAAGACATTCTCTACACTTGGGGTACGTTGACACAAGTAGTATGTGCACGTGTGTATGTGCGTATGTGTGTGTGTGTGTGTGTGTGTGTGTGTGTGTGCATTGGTTGTGGATTGGGTAGTTATCTGGCGCTAGTCTTGATCTGTCTCATTCAGATATTGTCCACTAACGTTGCTATTATAATTTTAAAGAGAAAATCTGTGGGTAACGCGTCCAGTGCATTTGCGTGCTTCTCTTGCGACGGGCGTCATGTTCATGGTGTGTGTGTGGGGGGGGGGGGGGGAAGGTGGGTGGGGTGTGAGTGTGTGGGAAGGTGGGTGGGGTGTGAGGGAAGGTGGGTGGGTTTGTGGGGGAAGGTGTGTGAGTGTGGGAAGGTGTGTGTGTGTGTGAGTGGGTGGGAAGATGTGTGTGTGTGAGTGGGTGGGAAGGTGGGTGTGTGTGAGTGGGTGGGAAGATGTGTGTGTGTGAGTGGGTGGGAAGGTGTGTACAGTCAACTTGGCTAATAACGACTGCAGATATAACGACAATTCGTGAATAACGACAGAATTTCCATGCCCAGAGCAAAGTTCCATCCCACTGTAATACATAATTATAATGAGACTTCGGGTATAACGACACTTCGCGAATAAGGACACCTTTTTGATGCCCCGCCGATTGTCGTTATAAGCGAAGTTGACTGTATGTGGGTGGGTGTGGATGCGGGGGTGGGTATGTAAGTCAGTGTAAGTGAGTGTAGGTGTGTGTAGGTGTAGGTGTGTGTGTGAGTGTGTGTGAGTGTGTGTGTGTGTGTAGGTGTATGTGTGTGTGTGTAGGTGTGTGTGTGTGTGTAGGTGTGTGTGTGTAGGTGTGTGTGTAGGTGTGTGTGTAGGTGTGTGTGTGTGTAGGTGTGTGTAGGTGTGTAGGTGTGTGTGTGTGTGTAGGTGTGTGTGTGTGTAGGTGTATGTGTGTGTAGGTGTGTGTGTGTAGGTGTGTGTGTGTAGGTGTGTGTGTGTGTAGGTGTGTGTGTGTGTGTAGGTGTGTGTGTGTGTGTGTGTAGGTGTGTAGGTGTGTGTAGGTGTGTAGGTGTGTAGGTGTGTAGGTGTGTGTGTGTGTAGGTGTGTGTGTGTGTAGGTGTGTGTGTGTAGGTGTGTGTGTGTGTGTGTGTGTGTAGGTGTATGTGTGTGTGTGTAGGTGTGTGTGTGTAGGTGTGTGTGTAGGTGTGTGTGTAGGTGTATGTGTGTGTAGGTGTGTAGGTGTGTGTGTGTAGGTGTGTGTGTGTAGGTGTGTGTGTAGGTGTGTGTGTGTGTGTGTGTGTGTATGTGTGTGGGTGTGTAGGTGTGTACAAGTAGGTGTGTGTAGGTGTGAGTGAGTGTGTGAGTGTAGGTGTGTGAGTGTAGGTGTGTGAGTGTAGGTGTGTGAGTGTAGGTGTGTGAGTGTGGTGTGTGAGTGTAGGTGGGTGAGTGTAGGTGGGTGAGTGAGTGTGGTGTGTGAGTGTAGGTGGGTGAGTGAGTGTGGTGTGTGAGTGTAGGTGTGTAAGTGTAGGTGAGTGAGTGTGTGAGTGTGGTGTGTGAGTGTGGTGTGTGAGTGAGTGTGGTGTGTGAGTGAGTGTGGTGTGTGAGTGTAGTGTGCGAGTGTGGTGTGTGAGTGTGGTGTGTGAGTGTGGTGTGTGAGTGTGGTGTGTGAGTGTGGTGTGTGAGTGTGGTGTGTGAGTGTGGTGTGTGAGTGTGGTGTGTGAGTGTGGTGTGTGAGTGTGATGTGTGAGTGTGGTGTGTAAGTGAGTGTGGTGTGTGAGTGTGGTGTGTGTGTGAGTGTGGTGTGTGAGTGTGGTGTGTGAGTGTGGTGTGTGATGTGTGAGTGTGGTGTGTAAGTGTAGGTGTGGGAAGGTGTGTGAATGTTTGGGAAAGTGTGCGAGTGTGTGAGTGTTTGGGAAGGTGGATGGGTGTGTGAGTGTGTTGGAAGGTGGGTGTGTGTGTGAGCGTTGTTTGTATTTAAAAGGATTCTCCAAAAGCAAAATGTTGGATTCTTATCACGTAAGTCTCCCACATAAATATAGCAAGAAAAATGGGGGAATGGGGGAGAGGAGAGGGGAAGATGAAGCATGGGAAGAAGGGAAACAAGTACCTAAAATATTGAGGTGTAACAGCAGAATTTCCTGCTTACGACTCCCTGATGTGCATGCAGCAGCTGCACTTCATCTAGACCCTAACCTCATTACCCCCCCCCCCCCCCCATCATATTTGTCGTGCCATAATTTATGTTTTGTCTGGGAGAAACCTTGCCTTGAAGATCGTGTGTGTAGTGGAATGTATCTGAAATGCAAAAATCTAAGCTCTAGCTCTCTCTCCTCTCTCTCTCTCTCCTCTCCTCTCTCCTCTCTCTCCTCAATAAAATCTACGCTCTCGCTCTCCTCTCTCTCCCCTCTCTCCCTCTCTCCCTCTCTCTCTCTCTCTCATTTGGTTTGCTGTAGATCAGCGACATAAACCTGTCCCAGTGGGTTAGCCATGCCGATCCTCTTGGCATCGGTAGCATTCGACCCGACCGGCCTCAAGACGTCAACGGCACTTTCAGCGAGGACGAGCAGGATGACGATGAAGACTCAGAACTGGCCGTCTTTCACGTCTACACAACGCTATGATGAAAGCTGTGAGCGGCAACTCTAGCTGTTTCTTCAACTGCTGCTGCTGCGGGATGATGCGTTGCTGGAAATCTGTGGCGGCAGCAATCCCGTACTGTTGCAGTCAATACAGCCAGGCTGCCACACTGATCTGCCGGGTTTCTTCTCCGTGATTGGCATTGAGGCGACGACGTTTTGCCTGGCGTTGTTATGCTGCTCTCTCCTCACCGCATGTACATAGCTGCTGTGTCCCTGATGCACACCGCGTGTACATAGCTGCTGTGTTCCTGATGCACACTGCATGTACATAGCTGTATTGTTCCTGAAAACTTACACACTGACTGGCAACGCCAGGTGTTCTTGATCTTTTCTCGTGTATTTTCAGAGTTTCGCTTTCCTTTTTTCTTTCTTTTGCGAGTAGGGTGATGGGCTTGAGTTAGTCCTGCGATATGCACACCAGCAGACATGCATGTACACCAAAGGACCCCCCCCCCCCTCTCTCTATATATGCTACACTTGACAGCGCAGAGCGTGAGCTGCCTACCGCACGCCGCGTGGCTCTCGGTTTGGTCCGATACGGAGTATACATGTAGCTGTACTACTCTGATACAGAGTTTACATATAGCTGTACTGCTCCGATGTGTTTCGTTTTGCGTGTCTGTTGTACTCTTCTTTTGGCCGTGGATCTGCTGTTGGATATACTCTGCACATACCCGGCTCTCTCTCTCTCTCTCTGTTCTCGTTTTGTTTTTTGGATGTACGTTTGACAACAACAGCGTAATTACACATTCACTGCTGGCCAGTGCTTAAGCTGTGCTCATTCATGTCATGTACTCGCCATGTGCTTCTTTATTTCTCTTCGACGTGGAGATAATAACCGTAAATAGCTACGAACGAAATTATCTCTTTTCTGCCCGTCACGAGATTCCATTGAAAAATTAATGTGACAAGAAAACGTTCCGGAACTACTAAACCGTTGCTATTGTTTGACATGAGCGCCAGTTTAAGTTTGTTAATAGCTATTATTTTTATTTCTTTTCCTTTGTCATAATCCCCCGCTGCTTGGCGACTGCCTATCCAGTCTGCCATGCCAGCATTAACAGCTGAGTAGTTTAACACCCTGTGCATGACCAGCCAACCACTCGTGCACACCGTCGGCATTCGTATATAGCCCCGTGCACCGTAGATCTCGCGTCCGCACATCCCCCGTTCACCATAGATCTCGCTGGTATCTTCTGCGCGTCTTGTTTCTTTGCCTATTGTCACTCATCTAAAGCAACTGCACATCCACCGCATGCGCTCTATAAGCTGCTGCTTACCTCTTTCATCTGTTGTCAGTATACTGACTATAGAACCGTAAATGAAGTTGAAGACACCACCGCAGCTGTACTTATGGTTGATAAATATGGTGGTGAAGACACACCTGGCAACATGGCGGTAAATACACACCTGCCCACACACGCTCTTTAGGCTGCAAAGTTCTGGCACAGAGCTCTCCTTCTCTTGTGTGTGGGCAACGAGATGTTCGATTGTGGGAATCCGTGGACCCCGGATCCGGATTCGCCGAATTTGTACTTGTTTGATTGTATGAATCTGTATCCAGGTCCCACGGATTCGGATCCAGTCAATCCACCTCACAGATGATCAGGCTTCGACAGATTCAACAGATCCATTTTCATTTTTACATGCGTCTACTCAAAACTCCAAATATGCGTACACTAGGTCAAGACTAGGGCTGCATTCGATTGTAGAAACTGGACCCGATCCCCGCCGACCAGATCACTTCGATCGGACGGATACAATCGAATGTGCACAACCGATAATCCGTTTCAAGGCCTTAGCAACCGCGTTGCTACAGCTCATCCCGTAGTATCTGTACGCGTTGTGGTAAACTCTTGAACTAGTGTACGCATATTGCGAGTTTTGAGTAGATACGAGTCGTACTATCAAAATGAATCCGTCGAATCTGTCTCTGGGAGGTGGGTTGACTGGATCCGAATCCGTGCTCTCGGGATCCGGATTCGTAGGCTGTGTTTACATGAGAAATTTCAACCCGGGTCGAGTTCAGCCCGGGTTGAAAGTCTGTACGATAGACAAAAGAGGTGAGCGTTTACATGAAGACAGTTGACCCGGGTCAAATACTGATATGCCGCCAAAAGTCCACTTCTACAGTCCTGTATGGTCACGTGAATCCGTTCGCGCGAAATTTGCATCTGCAGTGCCGTTTAAACCTGGCGCGAGATACGCACAGAAGTACGTTTGTACGATTTTCTTGACCCGGGTTGATTTCAACCCTCCCCTTGGGGGGAGGGTTGAAATCAACCCGGGGCGAAATTTCAACCCGGGTCAAGCGCAATGCGTCATGTAAACGCGCCATTCATTTTGTGCACATGGCGGGTTGAAATCTGACCCGGGTCGAACTCAACCCGGGTTGAAACGCCTCATGTAAACACAGCCGTACAATCGAACATGCACACATTTGGCGAATCCGGGTCCGGGGCTGATGGATTCGTACAATCGAACATGCCCTAGATTCCACCAGAAATTCCTGCGTACAGATACCACAGAATAGTATGGGATAATTATGTGGTTGCTAAGGCCTCTGAACGGATACCAATTATTGAATTTGTTCACATTCGATATTGTATCTGTCTGATCCGAATGGTCTGGTTGGCGGGGATCAGGATCCTGTTTCCACAATCAAATGCAGCCTTGCCACTGGTAGTCCAGTACAACCCACCAAATACCGAAAAATCTCACCAGAGTGCTCCTACCTCCACAACCATTCGAGTAGATCCATTTGGGGAGGGGCAGATGGACGAGTCCTACTTGCCGCATTCAGTACACTACAACAACATGAACAAGTACTCACCATACGAAAACTTTATTTTTATTATTATTATCTGTCAAGTGTCATTAATGACATTGTACATGATCATCACCGCGTGCGCTCGATCTAATCATTGATTGTCTTTATTTTATGTTTTGCCCGTACAAGAGGCATGGTTTGAGAAAGAAAAAAAAAAAACCCTACGAAAACTGTGCATGCCGACCAAATGTCTAGAGCTGGGAGTCGTACAAACCCGCCAAAACCCTGGGGTTTGTGCGATCCCTTGTCAAGGGGGTGGGAACTGTTACGTACATATCCAACCGGCTCGAGGACGCGTCTGCAGTACAGTACGGCCCCGCACACTTCACAGAGTCATACGAGGATACAATCATTATCATTTCCCTGACAAGAAGTCAGGGAGGGGCGCATGGAAGAGACAGGGCGCTCTGGCGGGATTTTAAGGTACTCACCCATGCCACACTGGGCATGCATATTGAGAATGGCCGGCAGAGTGCTCTATCTCCACATTATGGTTCATTTCAATCACTACCGGGCACAGCGCCTGCCAGTCTCACACAAACCGTGAATTGTTTCACGTCGATTACAATCAAGAGGACTCTTGGTTGTCTCCTATTCTGCAAAGTTAGATCATGCCCTTCCTCCCTAGCTGTACCAAGAGTATATAACCCCCAAGAGTGTGCAACTCTGCAAATGGGGTCTCCGACAGCGAAAACTCCCATCACGTGTCTCAGGTACGTTCGTAGTACGTACAAACGAAGGATAGCGTGCGCCCAATCCGAATATCTGCCATGATCATGCTGGGGATTTGCATACCCGCAGTCAGTTTGTCAGAGAGTGCTTTTTTTTATTACGCCGCTGCTTGCTAAAAATGGGCTGGAAACGCTGCATTGCAGCGGTTGAGTAAGTGGTTGAGCAATCGGTCAAGTCTAAAGGTAAGAAAACGAAACGTAAGAAAAATGACCAACCCTGCCCTGCCAGTTATGAGGACTTACGGGGGTCGCCATGGCAAATAATAATAATAAACAATGAAAATCAATCACAAACAGGAAGCTGTCTCAGGGCAAGTTTATGAGGTCAGGTGACAGTCATTGACCGCTAGAGCCAATGATTCCGCTACTGTTGCATCACGAGCACGTGCTCATGCATACACCAGTCGCCTAGTCACCGTACCTGCAGGCTACAACTTTCACACCAAGGTTCAACTCAAATGTTCAAAGGTTCACTGCCTGGAACGCCCCCAAACAGGCCGTAAGTTATAGCCTGCGGGCACGGTGACCAGGTGACTGGTGTACGCAGGAGCACGCGCCGCTTTCTCGACCGTGTTCGATTGGGAATAAGGGCGGAACGCTGCAGCGCAGCCTTTTCGGACCAAAACCAGTCGACTCAGCGTCCAAAGGACTACAACATATGGGCCAATCACGGTCATCCATGCTTTTGCAGGAACGAAATGGCGCTTTTAGTGACATTTTGCATACAAATCCCTATCTACAGTGCTAGCAACTGAAATCCGACCCCCCGGGCGCCGCGCCGCCCGGGGGGGGGGGTCGGATTTCAGTTGCTAGCACTGTAGTAGGGCGCAGTCACCCAGTTTCGGTGGAAGTGCGCGAGTTCGATTGGGAATAAAAGAGGAAGGGAGCGTCTCAGCTTCCTCGGACCAAGACCATTTTGACTCAGCACCCCGAAGACTACAACTGGTGAACATTTGGTCAACTGCGTACTTACAATGAAGCTCTGGTTCCAGCTGAAGAACCACCTCGCAGGCTCCTGAGAAGCAGCAGATAGCACTCCGCAATGTCGCTCACAGGCCGGGAGGCTGCAAAGCAAACCGGCGCTGAACCCGAGGACAGGCTGATGTCGATACCGGCGGGCGTTGCCTTCGCCGCATGAACCATCTCGTCGCAAGCGGCGAAGCCCATCTCGTGTGCTCGGGTCTGGATGTGGAGAGTCGGTGGTGTCAAGCAGGGAGTAGACACAGTCAGTGTACTCGCTGATGTCACTCGAAGTCAAGACGACAGGAAATGGGCCAGCTCCCACAGGGCCAGGCAGCAACAGTACACGCACAGTACACTTCATCATTTTTGCGAGACTGCCTGTGGCAATACGCCCAGTGAGAAGGCAGATTTTGCCTGTGCTTCTGGTGAAGTAAAAAAATCTATAAAACAAACAAACTTCTTTCTCTACCGCGTATACCGTCAGCCTGTATCGCCGGAGTCGTTACAGCAATACAGGCTACCAGCAGGCCTAACTAGCTACAAAAGTGTAACTGCTCCCTGCCGGCTCGTACCGACTACTGACGGTTGTCCCCGCGCGAGCTTGCGCCAAGTAGTTGCGGCTCGACGGACTGGAGAGTGGAGTGGAGGCAACAGCGCGCGCGTACTAGCGTCTGAAGCCGTGAAGGGCCAACGCCGAGCGGATCCGCACTCCACAGTTGCCATGAGTGACGTGTGGCCCGCCAAACAGTTTTGGGCGCGCAATGGGCGCGACACTATAATTTAAATTTAATATGTTTCAGGTTTTTTTTTGAAGTTACAACAGCCTCTTTTACGGGCAAGATTAAAAATTAAAAGCAACACAATGATGAGAAAACAAGAGGGGTAAACACAATAACTTTATCAAAGCTGTTGACTCACGCATACACACATACACACGCACACCAGATAACAATGATACTCAGTACCTAGACTGCAGGAGTTGCAAAGAAAGTTAAATCAATGCAGCCTCCGCGTTTGCGAGGACAGCAGACTGATCATTGACGCGGCGCATCCGCCGGGCACCGCGAAGGCAGGCAACACTGGCACGCAGGAGACCAAAACCAAGACGACAACGCAGCAACGCCATCACCATTGCGTATGGCTCTCCGGATTTCTCTGCAGACAGAGCAGCAATTCGGTTGAGAAGAGCGGAAGCAGCTCGACCGGCTCCACCTGTGGCTGAGAATACGACAGGTACGAAGGAGGCTCGCTCAACTTCTTGCACCCTCTGACCATACCTGCGACGCTTCTCTCGCTCATGGCTCTGGTAGCGAGCAGCGAGAGAAGAGGAACGGTTTGAAGGAGCGAAAGGGTTAAACACCCGTACATCAAGATAAACGCGTTCAAACCGTCCTCCCCACACGCCACTCGCCGCCACATCCAGGCGGGCCTGATCCTCGGTGGACGCCGTCCGGTAGCGGAAAAGCTCGCCGGTGAGGGGTTGGAGATGAGGCTCTACTTCTACGCTGTGTGCCACCTTCTTCAGTTGGCCAGCGATGATGTCCCGCACCTCATTGTGGCGAAGCGTCGGGAAACCACCAGTGGGGCAAGAGAGAGCATGCTCAACAGAGAAGGTGGCACCACAGACACAAGTAGAAGGGAGCCGTGCCGGGTGCCAGACCATCGCGAAATTCACACTTTGACAAGCTGAACCCATGCCGACTGAGGGGGCGACAAGTGAGCCAGCTGGACGCACCCGCCTCACTGCCAAGGTTGATGGAGTGCTGGAGGGCAGAGGAGGCTCGGGCGGTGAATTGGCGAAGGGCTTCCGTGGCAGCTGCCTTCAC